TCATTTCTTAAAATAGGGATTTCCAGTTGTGTCACAAATAGCAGAAAGTAAATTGAGCTCATCAGGAGAAAAATACGCTTTAGAGATCTTAATGGGGACTTGTGCGAGGGTTTTAACCTTATCAAAATTGTGTATCTGCTTCGAGAGGCGTTGGAATAGTTTGATAGCCATCTCTGCAACTTCGGAATCACCGGGAACCTGACCATACCAATGCCAATTGACTTGATAATTGAAGTCTGTATCGTTCGTGTAATCTGTGTAGTTTGTGTAACTCCAGATCCATTTTTCCGATCGAGTAGGTGCTGGTCGCCTTGCCATTCGGACTTTTCTGAAATTTAAGAAATTGAAAATTACATAGATTTAAATCTAATTGCTAAGGCCTCCACAGTTAAACTATAACAACTCAAATGTCAAATCTTTCCTAGCTTCTAGAAAGAAGAATGAGTTTAGTAGAACTTAGTTTATAATATTTGAAAAAGATCAAAGAAGTAATCAGAAAGTAAGTTCACAAACATCTCGTCCTCGAACTTTTCGATGATGGACCTTGCATGCAACATCGATTCCATATTGAAGTGTTGCTTGTTGAGCATCATCTAGAATATTGACGTTTTATCAAGAATTTATAGTATTAAATCACATACCAATTGAGTTTCTAGCTCTGTGATTTTTTTTCCTTATCCTCCAGCGTTTTTTGCACCTTATCTAGCTGCTCAACCTTCTTCCGGTACAGATCCTCCCAACTGGTTTCTTCACTAAAAAAATAACATGAGATACAATAAATTATATTATTTAAATACCTTTTTTTTGTCTTTCTTCTGCCTCTTGCGGGGGGGGTCCGTCAACCTCGCAGTCGCCCCTTCCCCCCCCGCAAGCTAGATAGTATAAAACGTCAATATTCTAGATGTTTGCGATGACCAATTGTTGTTTGCGAGGATATCCATGGGAAGGTATGCTTATTTGAAAGTACTGTGTTTATTGTTGTTGCTTTTTTAGTATTCCGACCTCTTGCGCATCTTCGAGAAGACCACTTTTCCACCTGACGCCAATTTCATCTTTTTGGACGACTATGTTGACCGTGGCCAGGAGAATATCGAAATCATTTCGCTCAGGTTTTGCTACAGAATCAAGTGAGTATTTAATCTTTACAATATTATAATCTAGCATGGACGAACTGCTTTGATTTTAGGTACCCTGAAAGCTTCTTGATGCTTTGCGGCAATCACGAGGCAATCTACGAGGAGTGCAACCGTCGCTACAAGAGCCAGCGTCTGTGACAATGTTTCCGAGGCACATTCAACTGGATGCCTCTTTTCGGTCTCGCATCCTCTGCATGCACGGTGGATTCAGCAAATCGAACAGCCGCGGTTTTTTTCTGTTACTTGCCTATTCAAAGTGTGCTTTTAGCAACTTGACTCGTCCTGAAGACCCAACCAATTCATCAATGGGTATCGATCTTCTCTGGACTGATCCTGGCAACTGGGTTAAGGTATTCCATCTTGTGGTGCTCTTAATTATAATTCTTTGTTCAGGGCTGACCTGGGAGTTTGGTATGTTTTTTTGGACAAGATGTGGTGCACTTCTGCGAGCGGATGAACATCTCATGGCCCGCACTCTTCAAGTCGTCCAAGACGGATACAGGTTCTTCGCCAGCCGGAAAATAGTAATTTTTAGTTTTTAACATTGAAAGTTGGAATGATTTGACTTAACTTTTTGCTTTAGGTCGCCATCTTCTCTGCACCCCACTATTGTGTAAAATTCGACAACTCGGCAGCCACCATGAAGGTATCACATTGCTTCTCAACTTATTGCACAAGGAGTGTTAAGTTTAATGGGTTTTTAATTTGTTTTCTTTTAGGTGAACGAAAATCTCCGAAGCATCTTCGACGTGTACCGCCCAACTGCCAGAGCCGTGCGAATGCAGCAACAAGAATAATAACTCGTTTTCTTATCGACGGCTCTTCTCGCCTTTTCAACGGTTTCTTCACCATTCCGTCTGCCATTCGATCCGGTGCTGCTTTAACTTATCCCCTTATTCTCATGTAAACATTTTTGTTGACTTTCGGGTGACAATAAATCGTTTGCATGAATCATTTGTAAAATTTAACATACGAGCGGGAAACCCGCCTACGGTGGGTTTTCCCGGCACAAATTCCCAAAAGGGTATTAGTTCTCACGCCAATTATAGCTCTACACAGATAAACTAGCTAAAGAAGAGTTTAAAAACTTGAGGCTTTTTTATTAAAATGCAAATTTTCCAACTAACCTTTCTTCTCATTGTTGTTGGTTTTTCTGATGGTGAAAATGAAAAAGGAGTTGCTGAGAATATTCTTGGTGATCATTTAAAAGCCCTATCGTCCAATTCTCAAAGCATTGATCGAAGAGAAATGTCAAAATGAGGTTGGTTAAAAAATAAAATTAAACAATCATTTACAACAGCATTTATTATTCCTTTCTTTCTATACTTTTGATAAATTTTATAGGGACAATTCAATAGCTTTTGATCTATTGGGTTGGTGGAAAAGTCCTTTCGGATTTTTTGGGAGAGTACCTTAAATTTGTCCAATTTTGACGTTTTATAGCTCATCCTAAAGCTGAATTCAAGACGCATGGATTGGTAAAAACCGTTTTGAGATATCTCCTTTCTAAAAGTTTTTACAGCTATTTTAGTAAAGGGCGGCAGAGCCAAAAAATGGTTGCTTTCACGTTTCGTTGGTTTTCCGTGCAGAAACCTAGGCTAAAAACATGTGTTTCGTGATCAGCATCAAAAATAACCCCTAGACACAAAATTTCAGAATCTTAGCAAAAAATTTTTGAAAAATATTGTCACCGGTGGAAGTCGAACCAGCGACCCTCAGATCAATAGCCTTTCCGCCGCTTTTCGCGATTTTCCTTAGCTTTTCCTTTTTTTTTCTAGCAGAAAGGTTAGTTCTATATCCTAGATCAATAGCCTTTCTAGCAGAAAGGTTAGTTCTATATCCTAGATCAATAGCCTTTCTAGCAGAAAGGTTAGTTGGAAAATTTGCATTTTAATAAAAAAGCCTCAAGTTTTTAAACTCTTCTTTAGCTAGTTTATCTGTGTAGAGCTATAATTGGCGTGAGAACTGATCCGAAAGTCCGAAAGGACTTTTCCACCAACCCAATATTTACGGAAAAAAAGCAAAAATCTAGCCGGGATTGAACCCTTAACCTAAGAGACAGAGATTTTAGTCAGTCGACTATGGTTGTGTTTATGCTTTCAATCTATTTCCAGGATTTCTGTTCACATTTGGTCAAGTATCTGGCTGGTGTCCGACGTTCAATCGAGGCTGATCTCATGCGTTTTCAAATTGAATTCGCCGCGGCAAAACTTGGAGGGGATTTGACGACAAAGGTTTCACTAGAATTTGAAAAATACTTGAAAAGTTTTAGAAATTCTACACAAATCTTTCTCTTATCAAGTTCATTCTCAATGAGGTTAATCCAGGTAAACAAATGGAAACAGTAATTACAGTAAGACTTGAAAATTCATTGAATTGGCTCGCTCAAGCAAAAGATATTCACCTAGCATACTGTAGTGAGACAGAGAACTTTAGCCTTAGAATATAAATAACAAAAAACATTTAGCAATTCTTGTAAAAGCGATTGAGATCTATGATGAGAAAGTTGAAAGAGCATTGGAGAAAGGGGAAACGATTGAGGAATCGATGGATGGATTGGAGGGAAATGAAGAGGAAGCGACAATTGACACCGATTATCTCAATCAGAATGATCTCAATGAATTGACTGAGGGATTTGAGGAGACACCACAAGTAAGTAGGCAATTGGAAATTGATATGCTGGTTAGACTTTAGTTTATAGGGTTCAATAGTAGCCATGGTTTCCCAGATCAAAGTTCGCTAAGAAAAAAAAAGTTTTTTCGAAAGCGATTGAAGATCAAAAACCATGAATAGACGAGGAATTGTTTGTGTGAATGTTGAGAATTTAAGAAAAAAAGCTTGTTTTGAACTGAATTAGCCTAGAATTCTGGGTCAAAAGCTAATTTTGTTTACCGTATTCTCTCTAATAGTAGTGCACCCTAAGCTATGTCTAAATTGCTCGAAATCTCGAAATCCGCTTATCAGAACCTATCGATGTGGGGTCGGAAAATGTAGCTGACGACGAGATCTAGTGGGGGATTAGAGTGTTGAGCTTCTGTAAAAGCTTGGAAACCGTAAAATCGTCACCAACTCGGCTCGCCGGGGTGCACTACTATTAGAGAAAATACGGTATTTTGTAACATTGTTGATAAAGAAGCTTGTTTTGAACTGGATTAGCCTAGGATTTCGGGTCAAAAACTAGTTTTGATTAAGTCACAACAAAATTTACATCCAATATAAGGTAAGGTCGCTTTTTTGATGGATTTGGTGAGTCAAGGCAATAACCAACATCAAAACCAAGCCTAGTTTTGTAAATTAAAGAAAAATTGAGTGTTTGAATATCAAAGATTTTCGTTACTAAAGAATTTCGAAACCTTTAGCTTCCCAGCATCGACGAGTTGATGAAATTGTACGCGGAGAGGGAGGAGGAGGAGACAATCGGTCAGTATAAGCCCTAACTTGTTGTACTTTGTTAAAATCTTTAAAAAATTGTTTTATTTTAATAAATCTTTATTCAATTTAATAGATAGAAACGAAATTTACATTTAAAAATGGTAAAAAAGAACTCGCTGAGTATCGGAGGGAAATCGGGGAAAGCTCGAAAGAAGTGACTATGATTGAAAAGTTCGAGAAAAAGAACCGGTTTTGAGAAATAGCACAATTAAATGTAAATTGAATGTAAATTGAATTCGAATTGGATCCAAATTACCGTAAATTAAATGCAAATAAGAGTTTTTTCTTTTGAGTTTTTGAAAAAGTGAATTTGCTAAAATAAAATTGATCACAATGATTTGAATGAGGAAAACATTTGAAAGGAAAAAGATTTTAAAAGATTTAATTTTTAAAGTTTATAAAACGATTAGAATGATAAATAGGGGAATTTTATCGATAAAAAGTTGTTCCGAGTTGTTTCCGGCGTTGATACGTGTAGTAAGCGTCGTCCATCTCGTCCTCATATTTTGCGAAACGTGATAAACTCCGGGGATTCGCTGAATTTGCTAATTTTTGCTAATTTTCAATTCAATTCGATAAAATTACTATTTAGATACGGAAAACGAAATAGATTTTCACAAATGATCGATTGTTTTTGGGTACTTTGTACTTAAAAAGATGTAAGCCCACTCCTTTTGTAAGCCCACTCCAGTGCACAAGAAAGAAATACTGTCTTTAACTTTCTTTAACTTCCTTTAACTTCCTTTAATAAGAACAAGAACAAGAAATTGTGTCTTTAACTTTCTTTAACTTTCTTTTCTTTAGAAACAATATTAACTGTTAACTTTCTATATTGTTTTAAAGAAACGTCTGACTTTTGAATGATATAATATATAAAGTACATTTGAGTCATTTGATTTCATAAAAATCAGGCGACAAGAAGATACTCTTTTTTTGATCGATTTTCACAAAATAGAATAAATCAATCAAGCAATTTTTAGTATCATTTGAAAGCCTAACTTATCCTCTTTAAAACAATAAAAAAAATGAATAATAATATTGTCTCTAAATAAAGTTATTGATCTTTAAATCATGACTATTGATTTAAAAGCCTTGAGTTACAAGAGCCGTTTGATTCTAGATTCAAGAACTCTTTTATTTTCGATTTCCTTACCATATTCTACTGTTCTGTAAAGTTTGACAACTTAATTACCCAACTTAAAGTAAAATTAAATTTAAATTCCCAAAATGGTATCAATTCTCACGTCAATTATAGCTCTACACAGATAAACTATTGGGTTGGGGAGAATGAGTCGGCGCCGAAAATCAAAAAAATGTCTAAAACTTCTAGCAGACTTCGTCAAATAATATGCGTTTGATAGAATGGTTTCTCTACAAAATGACATTTAAAAGAGAATTCAAACAGCGCCTCCGCTCAAGAAAAGCCATTTTTTCACAAAAACTACAAACTGTGATCTAGAAAAAAACCATTGGTGGGATCTTCCTGCAAATTTGGCAACTTAAGTAATTCAATGTGCTCTATCTTTTTTTATATAAACACCAAAGAAGGTTTATGTGAAAGAAACTGTTCAAATGATGAGTCGGACTCTTTGCCATTTTAACCAGCTGCGTTTGGAAGTTCATAAACTTCACGAAAGAAAAGCTTTGTGGAATCTCTCAAAAGTGATTTTGTAGAGAAATAGTGGATCCTTTTGATGAAACCAAACGTATGTTTAAAGAAGGCTTTATGTGTGCAAAAAGTCCCTTTAAAGTTCGGTGCCGACTCATTCTCCCCAACCCAATAGCTAAAGAAGAATTTAAAAACTTGAGGCTTTTTTATTAAAATTTATTAAAATAGAGCGTTTTATTTTCGATTTCCTTACCATATTCTACTGTTTCCCCGGTTCGAAGGATTTTGTTAGCTGGTGAGAGAATTGATGGAACAAGTGGGTTCTCTCGCAATGACAATCCACCCATTGGCCTCGGCATTACTACAGGATCAGATGGGACACGATCCGATGAACCGGACACCCAACCAACACTGCCGCCCGGGCCACTGCCGTGATCTTCATCTGAATTCGTTTTTTTGAAACAGACTTGCAATGAAACTCTCAAAGCTTTAGTTAACTCAACTTTTGGCAATTTCAAACCTGGATAGAGCAATGGTGAGGTACACTCGTGATCGATGACACCACTTTTTGGCGGATCTCCACGAACCCATAACGTTTCCACGCGATCCGATTGAGACTCCTAAACAATTTTCTTTTCTCTTTAACTTAAATAACAATGGATTTTATAGCTAGATCTTCTTGATTCACTTAAAAAAACGTGACAGTCTTGATCAATCTCTTTTACAGTAGTGGAAAATGGATTGGGAATGATAAGAATACTAAGAATACGAACTAGAATTGAATAAAAAAGAAACTAGTTTTACTCACCGATCTCCCAAAAGCACACGACCAAATGAGAATATAGAGTGAGGTTAAAAGTAGAAGAATCGAGGTGATCACTTCGGATAAAGCTATGGATAACCATGAGGTTGATGGCAAAATCAATGCGCCAATCGTGTAGACGATTGTAAGGGCTGTCTGTAAAAGGAATTTCTACTTGATTTCTTTTAAAAAAATGAGCTCAATAGTTTGAAGTGTGTTGCTTACCAGAAGAAAGTGTTGGCATAAAGCTTTTCGTAGCGCGAACTTCACCACAACGACCTGGAGGATTTAGAGTTAATCGATTAATTAGAAATGTTAACTCATTAACATTTAACATTAGCAATAGAATTATCCTTTTTTTACCTCAAAATGCTTGTCTCTTGATATGATGAGACAGGTGGCACACGCATAGAATGAGAGCTGAAATCTGACTTTAGAAATCTGACTTTTAGAATAGAAATCTGACACGATAGAAACTTGTTTAAATCGACACTTACCAATAAAAACAATGCAATTGGCAAAGCGATCGTCCAGAAGAGCCACTGTGATGGAGCGAGTGAGCAAGAGACGGATAGAAGGAATGAGCAAACGGAGAGACAACAAGGGAGCGCCAATCCCAACAGGAGACACACGGCACCACTAGAAATTCAAGATTTCGTGAATATCTTCAAGTTCGATGCTAATATCGATTCTTTAAGGTTTTAAGGTAGAGTTTTTCAAAGCTAAGGCTTGAAAGCTAGATAGAATCCAGGTTTTAGCCAAAGCCTGGCTTAGCCGGGCCTGGCCTAAGCCTGGCCTAGCCTAGCCTGGCTTAGCCTGGCCTGGCCTAGCCCAGGCTTAGCCTGACCTGGCCTGGTTTGAAGTATTCCAATTCTAGATAAACAATCAGAAAATCTAGATTAGTACCTAGTTTGTGTATTCCCTTCAGCTAGCATTCGGTAAATGTGCAACGAGTAAAGGAAAAGCCAACAGAATGGCGAGACAGAGGTGAACGAGAGGATCGCATTGCGAACACCGCAGAAAATCTGGAAATGGGATTTTTTGCTGAACTTCTTTACATATTCACGACGAGACGATCGAAATGAATTTTCTTTATCTTTACCGTATTAATAGTGATTCGATGCAAGAAATAGATGTTGATTGCATGAGCGGCGAAAGAGAAGATGAAAGCCACGCGGACAGGTCTTGTCCTCAAACCGCGTCGGCTCAGGGTGAATACGAGAGCCAAGGAAAGCACGAGGAGAGCGGAAACGGCTGACAGCGGGGCAACAGGCGAGGTGGCCATCGTGAGACGGATCTGGAAAAGATTTTCAAGTCTAGTTAGATACTATTCAGCTCAGATATTTGGTTTTAAGAGCATCTGTGTCCTCTTGGTAAACTTAGCTGCTTAGCTCATTTAACTAACTTCTTAGCTGTTTTGAGTCTCAAAAATAGCAAGACCAATCAGCTCTAGGTTATTCTGAAACTACTTACCTTTTGAAATCAAGTTTCTTTAAACAGTGCTTCAATGTGAAAATTATAAATAGAATCGATTTGATGACCGATATTTTTTACTCAGTTTTAACTAATTTTTCTTAAAACCCACTAGAACTCCATTATCGACTTTCATGAGAATTGTGTAGAGACCAGGTTTATCGAAAAGACAAGCTGCATGAGAGGCATTCAATCCAGTAAGTGTTGCGCCTTTTGTCGACCATTGCTCAACATCCGATGATATGTAGTGGACACACTCTGGGTATCTGGAATCAAATTTGTTTAGTTTATTGCTCATAAAAAGATCACTGACTTCCATCCGGATTCCTCCTTTAACAGGAATTCGATGAGAATCGGCTGCGTGGAGTTTGTTTGAGCTGCGACGAGGGGAGCTGAACATCGCACACAACGCGGGTGGGGGATGATCTAAAGGAAATGTTTGATCCACTGAATTTTAGTGTAGGCTAAGATAAGCATTTGATAATTAAGTTTTCCTCTGATACCTGATAAAATCCCCAAGTTGACCCATCTCCAAAAGAAATTCGAATCGTTGGGAAATCCACTGGACGCTCGTCGACAAAGTTATTGAATTTAGGCAAAAGCTCGTTGTTGTCAAGTCGATCGATTGCAAACACTGAAATTTAGATTCTAAATTAGATTAGATTTCATTTTAGATTTATCTGAAAATCAGCTAGAGTTAGAAGCTTACAGATATTCTCGGATTGAATAGCGAATGGCTGAAGATAGGGTCGATTTTGATGAAGATGCAAGAGTGCTTTCCCAAGCTCGGCCAATCTCGCGCCAAGCAGCACGGATTGAGCCGGTGATTCTCGGGGCAGGATCTAAGAGAGATTTTAGATTTTCTAAGTAAAAAGATTAGAGAAATGCAATTTTCTAATGCTAAAGTTAACTTTTTATATATTTGTCGGAAGTTTTTTTTGAAAATTAGTATCTAATTGGGTCCTGAAGTACTGTAAAACCTTTTACAAAAATCAAGTAGTAACTCTAGGTGTTGAGACCCAAAGCTAGAACTAGCTATGTAAATGCAAATGTAAATTTTGTTTATAGAACTACCTGCGCCACTGAGTCGATCAATTTCCGTGTGAAATCGTGATCATGAATATGGGTGGCAGCGTGCTCAGCGATCTCTCCCTCGAGCACTTTTTCGAGCACCAAACGACCGATTTCAAGGCTTCGACCCTAGAATTTTAATAATTCGATTTATTTACAAATAAATCTACCTTAGTTTTCTCTATTTCTTTTTTTAAAACAAATAAATCTTGTGTGAGAATTCGTACCTTCAAAATTGTCTCATCACGCGACGCGTTGTAAACGGCGCTCACGATGTCTTGTGGGCTTAAACTTGAGACCTAAAATGATTTTATTTAGATATCTATCTATATATATCTAGATTTCATACTTAAATCTATAATCTAACTTGAATACCTTTGTGATGATCGTGGAAAACTCTTTCGTCGTGCAATTCCAGCTCTCCACCGTTTGCCATTTCGCGTTCTCGCCGCATTTTCGCGTTGCCAAACCGGTCTAAAATTTGATTAGCAATTTGCAGAATTTGCAGAATTTGCAGATACTTATATAATTAAATCCTTATCATCACTCACCTCATTATTCGCGCAAGATTGCTTTGCTTCACCGCCACTCAACGTTGTCGGCCATTGAATACCGCCGTCTTTGTTAGAAGGACATCGCCCGCGCAACGATAAACAACGCAGCGATTTTGGGTCGAGAACCTGGAACTAAGTAAGTCTTGAAAGTAAAGTAAACTTCAGTACTCGATACTCGATTACTAAAGTACTCGATTCTTTAACAATTTTTTTGCTCCCACTTGTGTGTCACTCTCGCATCGATCACATCTTCTTCCCATCGCTTCTCCAGCACACGGACATTGTCCCTTCGCATCGCACTCTTCCGATGTTGCACCCAATCCGCACTCGCATCCAACGCATCGTCCTCCCAGCTCCCAGAAGGCTTTCTGAAAATTTTGTTCTTGATGATTTATTGGGCAAAAATTCGTATTCAGAAACTAAAATAACTCACTGGGCACAAGCATTGACCAGTTAGTGGATGACATTGATCGATGAAACCCATATATTTTGAGCAATCACATCGACGACATTCTCCAAATCTTCCCCACCAACCTCGTGGACAAACACGTAACGGTGCCAAGTGATCGCAATTTGGTGTACCGTAACCTGGAAGTAATTGTTTAAAAGTCAGCTACAATAATCTTCAGATTACCTGTTGTACAATGACATTCGTATCCCTTTGTGGTGTTTGTTTGTTGACATATTCCACCCGAACAAACTCCTTTCAGTGAGCAAATCGGATCACACGAGGCTCCAGCGAATCCTGAAAGAATTTGAGAAGATAAGGACTGAACCCGATGTTGGATTCGGTAATGTAACTGAATGCAGCTTTAGAACTACTGTAATTTGTCATAACCAGCTTGTTTATAAGCTTCAGTTTTCAAAGAAAGATCAAGTCTAACCCGTTTCACATTCACATTTGTGTCCTTCCCAAAGTGGTCGGCACACAGAGTTCTCTGGGCATGAACCAGCTTGGCAACCCTTTGTCGAGACGCAACCCTGTCGAACCTGAAAGTTTTCAAAATTTACTATATCATTACAATCCTACAATATGTCAGAAAGTCTTCAATGATTGCTTTTGTTTCACTTTTGAAACTGAAAAGGTATTTGGAAATCTGGCTGGCTTTATTCTGGCTTAGCTTACAGTATTGAAATCACCCACCTTTCCAGATTGTTTCGTTTTAAGGTGAACACCATTTAGTTGAATCTCTTTCAAGCATCCCTCGAAACGGGATGGATGCGAGGATGAGGGAGCGATTCCCGAATAGAATGACGTCATTTCCGGATTTCCTCGAGTACCCAAGCGCAACGATTGTGTCATCGAGTAGATTCCATCGACAATCGTCGTCACCTCATCAGCTTTAAATTCGACTTCGATCTGCAAAAGAAACACAATTATTTACTCAATCTCTTTACCAGTTAAATGCTAAAGTTAAATGCTTTGGATCTGCAAATTTCAAAGGCGTTTGAGATAATCTTAAGCCAAGGATTACTGTAAAGAACTTGGAAAATATCACAGTACATTTGGAAGTCCACCAGTGGATCGTATCGTAAATGTGTTAAGTACTTGATTGTGCTAAGTACTACTCTACTTGATTATATCCAGTTCTGTTTCTATTTCCGATCTCACCTTTGTCCAATGTCCTCTGGCTGCATCAGGGCACGGGATGTTTTGCGCTGAGTAGCCGATCATCGACTTCAACAGGCCATCTTCTAGCTAAAAATCTGAGAAATTATGTTTTTCATTGTAGTCATACCGCCAGAATATAGAACAGATTCTTGTCATCGAATTCAATCGCGAAAATCTGAGTGTCATCGCGAATCGTGCGGAACTCGAGCGACACACTGAATGGAATCGACGCCATTGAGGGCACCTGTAACAGTAATCTCTAGCTACAGTAATTTCTAGCTACAGTAACTTCTAGCTACAGTAATCTCTAGCTACAGCCATCTCTAGCTACAGTCATCTCTAGCTACAGTAACCTCTAGCTACAGTAACCTCTAGCTACAGTAATCTCTAGCTACTGCAATCTCTAGCTACTGTAATCTCTAGCTACTGTAATCTTTAGGCAGCTATAGATTTCCAGCTAATCTTCAACTAAACAAACCTTCCAAGTTTGAAACGATTCCTCTTCACCCAATGTGATCTGCCTCAATCTCGACTTTTCCCCGTGACAATCACCGATTTGGTGATTGTAACCATTCGCACATCGACAATTATGACCCATCCATCTACAAATAAGTTAAAAGCTTTGATTTCTATCTATTAGATTAAAATTGGGGATACGTATACAATTGATCTCAAAAATTGACTGCATCGAATTTCTTTACCTATTCACACAATGTGCCCCATGTCCACAGGAAGATTCACGACAAAAGTCACGCTTTGGACCACAACCCTGAATTCTCAGTGTCAATATTCTTCGATATGTAAACTTTTGCATTTTATTCACCTCATCAACTTTCCCAATTTTCTCGAAATCTTGCAGATTCGAAAAGTCGATCAACGTGGAATCAAGTGTGAAATTCGATAAGCATCCATTAAATCCATTCTCTACCTAAACAGGCTCCATCGAAATTAGGGTTTAAATCCTAGAAAAGCAAAAGTTCTGATGAGAGTGGGATTCGAACCCACGCCTCCGAAGAGACCAGTGCCTTAAACTGGCGCCTTAGACCGCTCGGCCATCTCACCAACGAGGACGGGGGCTCACCTGGCGGGTTTTGTTGGGTCGACCGCCGAGAGAGAAGCCGGATTGAGAGTCGAAAAAGCGATGGCATTGAATGGATGGATCGAGGCATCTGGAGAGAGAAATGAGAAATTTGGACGGGGAAAGAGCTCCGGAAAATGGGAAAGGGCAAGAGGGATACTTGGAAATTGATAAACACAAAGATAACCAAAAAAATAGCTTCGAAAGTTATAAATATAGAATTTACAATTGGATAAGCGAATTGCTTAGTCGATTTTGCTTTTATTTTCCCTAGTAGTGTAGGCAAAACATGGCTACGTCTGTTGGAGATCAAATTTTACACAAAACTGGTGTTATTTGAGTATCTTCTACTGTTTAAATACCATTCAGAAGCTAAATTGTAAGCTTTTTATGTATTTTATCAATAATTTAATGTATGATGTGTCAAAATAAATAAAGTTTTAAATAAATAACTAAATAAATAAAGTTTTAAATAATAAAACTCACTTTGCTGGTAGTTCAATGGTGGCCTGAGTCGCGCAATTCGGTGATCCAGCCGCTAAACGAGAGACAAACGGATCGCAATCATCCAACCAAAGAGTCAACGTCTAAAAAAACATTTGATTGACTTTATCTAAACTTTTCAACACTGTAATTTGATCTAAATTTGAAAACTTATCTTAACACTTATCTGAATAATATTAGATTTGCAACTTGAAAGTTGGTAGACTTATTTATTGCACTTTTTAGAAATAACTAATGCACAATTCATTAAAAATCTATAGCTTTTATCAATAAAAATCCTCATTTATTCTTTAAAAAAGGCTTTTGACAGATTAAGAAAAGCTTCGATTTTGTAGATTTTAGATTCGTAGATTTATAGATTTATAGATTTCTAGGGGGCATAAAGTTGAGGAACTAAAAAATGATGAACACTAGATGAAGCGATCATCAGATCGCTTCATCAAGTGTTCGCTTCATACGGTTTTTTTGACCGCTTTGAGCTTTCTTTAAAAAGCTATTTTGTAGAAAAAAATAAATCTTTTTAATAGTTTAGATTTGGTAAAGAATTCTTTTCCATTTAAAAGGAAAAAAAATAATTTCAACTCGGGCACCTTATGAGGGAAAGCTTGCTGAATATCTTTGCACTTAATCTTTATGCTTTTTAGAATATTTAGAAGACTTAAAAAGCTTAATAAACGATAGCTTTAGAAATTGATTTACTCTTGATATTCAGATTAAAATCGATAGTTCAATCAAAGCCTGACCCTCTCGAAATAAGTGATGGTCGCTGTGTGCCAATGTCCGTCATTTACTCGATTCTCTTTCTCGTCGCTCAATTCGACGAGTTTCGTTTGACCGCCAAGCCTAGATTAGAAACATATATATGGAATTAATTTTTATTGTTCACTCACCCAAATTCGGCTCTCAAGATCCGATTCTCGATCGACAACTCAAGGAAATCGGTTCGTCGATCCCCGACAAAAAGGATCGTGCTAGCTCGGGAAATGGTGGCAAAACTGGAAACAGATTTTTTTTGAAAATAGCTTTTAAGCAATAACAAGTAACATGATTTTACAATGATAAATTGAATTTTTAAATTGAAAATTTTAACCATCTTTACCTGATCTTCATTGTCCAATCGATTCTGCTTGGGTTTTCATTGATCCGCAGCAGTGATTCACCTCCAAAGTGCACCGATCTGAGACGACATCTAGAAATATGCTAATTTAGTTTTTACAGTTATCATTTCTGGCTTTTTAAGCTATAAATTTTAAAATCAAGTTCTACAAGAGCTACAAAACTTTAAGCTATCAAATTTTTGAATTTCGATTTGTTTTTTAACACTCATCGTTTACTCACTACTTAGGATTAAAGGAAATTTGATTGGAAAATAGCAATGATTCACCTTTCATCACTATCAATCGCTGAATGTCGACACTTTGTGCATTTCATTTTATGCTCATTTGTCACTTCACAAGTTGCCCCATCTTTACAATATCCCGGAAGACAGTTTGCCACATTTGTCGAAATTTCGCAGTGTTTTCCTGAAAAATCAGTTCAAATCTTTCTTTATCAAGTTAACTTTAGATAGAGGCTAACTTTAGATTAAAGTTAGACTCTATTTTCCTTTAACAATTCAATAGATGAACTTTAGATCAGAGTTAGACTCTATTTTCCTTCAACAATTCAATAGATGAATTGTTGAAGGAAAATAGAGGATTAAGTGCACCAGAAAACATAGGTTTTCCAGTACAAGATTTTCCAGTACATTTTCCATTCCAGTACAAAAGATAGGTTTCCAGTAAAAACCAGATTTCAGTATATAAAAACTAGAGAGTTTAAGTCAATCCCCAAAGTTTTATTTTTCCCAATTTTCATATTAGTTTGTTGTGTGTGGCAAATCGGAGGAGTCTTCTATGGATCCTTCAAGAAGGAATCGCGTGTCTATTTCTTCTCTTTTCACCATCCTCTTTTCATCTAACAAGTCCTAATTGCTCTTTTCTTCATTTCCAATCGAAAACAAATGCATAAAAGTGTGACAAAGTAATTGATTGGGAAGATTCAGGGGAAAGTTTGAAGACAAGATCGACAAAGAATCGACTTACAATGGAAAGCCATAGTTTCCCCCATGGTTCATATATTCAAATTCCCAATTTAATCTTCCGTAAACTTTGTAGGGAAAGTGTAAATTTGATTCTCAAAATTCGCCCCTTTCGATCCTAACACATTTACCCGCCCAAACCAAACTATTTACCACGATTGGCAGAAAGAAAATTACGGATCGGCCAAATTAGGGAAATTATCTAGAGACGGGATTCCTTTTATGTCTTTTGACTTAGCTTCTTTCTTCTCTTCTCCTCTCTTCCCTTCTCGTCTCTTCCCTTCTCTTCTCTTCTCTTCTCTTCCCTTCTCTTCCCTTCTCTTCTCTTTTCTAAGGATTCTCTAAGAATCCACTTTTGGGTAGAGGTGTCAACAATTTAGCTCATCCCCATCAAGACACAAAATCTCATAAGCATAATAATTTGATCAGACCTACTTTGGCAATAACAATTGAAATGGCTATGCAGCTCTAAATTTCTTTAGACAAAAGAGCAATGGGTTTGTTTATTTGAAAATTTGAATTCCTTTTCTACAATGAGCACATTTTCGAAAACTATCGTAATCTTGGCTCTAGTTTTTTTCAATCTGAACTTTTGATATTTTTCTGTGAATTTGCATGTTAATACTTTGGTAGAAAAATACTTGACAGGTTTTGGTAATTTAAATTTTACTTGTCATTTTTGCGCATACCAATTCTACAGCTTTAAATTTGATCCCTTTCCTTTCTCTTGAACTCACCATTTCCGAATGAGAAAGGCTCATTGAAACAAGAGAAAAGAAAAGAGAAAAGAGCCTTGAAAGAATCCAAAGGGTGTCCCAATCCATTATTCAAAAGTTTAATTAAAGTGGCACCAAAGGGAAAGTGGAGAAAAGAGGGCAATGGCCCATTCATGTGCAGTCATTCACGATGTTGCGTAACAAGAGCCTCGATTCTTTTCTTTTTCCTGAATACTCTCCGAACACAACACTTTTACCACATTCCGTGTGTTCTGAAGTACTAGGCTATGGAAAAAGTGAAAGAAAAGAGAAAGAGAGTGGACTTTTGGGATTGGGTAAAGGTTTGGCTTTATTTAGTACATCACATTTCATATAAAGCTTAAGTCGATAACCGAATCATAAAACTTAGGCATAAAGCAGTTTTTCGACAATTCAAATGAATACCTCTGTATTCGACAGCATGCTCAACTAACAGATAATCAATATTTTGCTAAGATATTTAGCTGAATACTTTAAAGTTTACAGCAGACACTTACGGTTTTGAATAATCTAAATGGATTTAAATGGATCTAAAAGGATCTAAAGGGATCTAAAGGGATCTAAAGGGATATAAATAGATCTAAATAGATCTAAATAGATCTAAATGAATCTAAATGATATCAACTCACCAATCCATCCATTCTCACATTCACATCGATACCCATTCTCAAGCGGGAAACAGCTTCCATTGTGCTGGCACGGTCCTGAGAAGCACTCATCGACTCGAATATCGCATTTATCAGCTTTATCGGAAGAACCTGAAAAAAACTTCTGGAGTAAATAGTAAATAGTTCACTAGTTTCTCCCGGCTATATCCTTGTTAAAGAAACCAACTGCAAACACAAAATTTTCATAGATAGTTTGAATTGGTGTAAGATCTTTGCATAGCAAGCCATCTCTTTACTAGCTGTACTTTGTTAAAGAAGCTAAAAACGCATCCATTCTGGTGCACCGAGCTCTTTGATAGTTGATAAGTTGAAGTAGAGGTTCTCGTTGAACATTTAATTCTCGATCCCTTTCTCAACCCTTTCCTTCTGGTCATTCCGGCCATTCTTTTCCTTATCCATTCCATTCAATTAGTGTCGAGCGGCCATCAAAGTCCCTTTTATGTGCTCTCTTTTCACTTTCGAATGCTAATTATGTCGAGTAGTCAAATGCAAATGTGTCACCACCATTTCTATTACCCAATGGTATTGAAAGAAAGGTTTGAAAAGAATTTTTAGTTCAAATATAGATAACTACTCACATCAAGACTCAAAAATATAAATCAAAGCTATAATTTTACAATTTTTACAAGAAAAAACTGACTTGCGAATCCAGGCGGGCATTCACAAACGTGCGTCTTTAACGTCTTCAGCGAGTGTGCCAAAAAGTTGTCGGTTTGGTGAAACTGAAAATAGTCATTAGTACAAACCAGCGGTGGGTTGTATGAATGTCAGCCCTTACGTGAATGTCAGCGTTTACCTCATTCCCCACAAACTTCAGCGTATCTCGACATCGTTGATAATACGAACAGGGTTCATTCGAACATGAATCCGAATCGAAAATTCGAATATCAAGGAGGCTAAGCGAGGAGAGTTTGTGAAAGAAGCCAGAGATCAACTCAGAGACTGTTGTGCTGCTAAAATTTTGTTATAAGCTAAGCTTAGATTCGATTCGGTTTACCCAAACCAAGTTGAGATTCGAAATTTTAAAACCTAAACTTTTCTAGCCTATTTGTTTTCCCGTTAAACTGCGATAAATTGAAATTTTAGAATCTCGACCGGAAAATTTCAGAGTTGTTACCAAAAGACTGCCTTTTTAGGTGATTGGTAGTCTAGATTTCTAAAAATGGCCGTTTTTTTAAACTTATATTAGGTTACAGTAGTTGTAGACTATGCTAGCTTTCTAAACAGTGCCTTTTTCTAATTCCTTTTCGAATAACCTTTCCAGTTTTTCCCCCATAAACTCTGAATTCCCATTCACATCGCGATTCCCGTGCAATTTCTAATTTCCCTCTTGGGATCTTTGGTTCTTCTTCGTCTTTTCGTATTCCCCAAACTTGACTGAGTATCTTTTCTTGACTTCTTTCCCCAATTCTATATGCAAATCGAGTCATTGACAGCTGGCAAAAAGGAGAACATTTCCTTCAAACACATACATTTTTCACATTGGAATTTGTAAGTGACAAGTTTATAAAATTAAATGTGAATTTCAAAATTGGATTTCGATGGATTGATTGCGGTAGCTTAGATGCCTTTTAGAAAACGCATTTTAGAAAAAATGGAGAGCTCTCTAGTGGTTTCTTCGAGTCACCAAAAACAGGCTTTGCTTTGGCAGGGGACTTTGGCCTCTCCACAAAACGTAATCTTACCCTTTCTGGCATTGAATTAGTTTTCACAATCTTTCAAATGTAATAAAAAAGTGAAGGAATTGAGAAGAAAAAGTATGTTTTCGGAAAGAGGGTCGAGCCCTAGACTTTTCGCTTTCCGAGCGAAAGGTCTAGGGTTCGATCCTCTCTCCAGTTCGATACTCTAACCACTGAACTACCCGGTACCCGGATTTGTCAAGAAAAAAAAGAAAAGATGTAAGCTACCTTTTGGTTTTCAATCCCTTCAACAATTTATTTTCTCAAACTATCAACAGATTTTTGAGTGTTGCCTCAAGGATAATGGGATTCTCATGGAAAAGACAGAGAAAAGAAGAAAGGGTTCATTCCAAATATTGCGCCACGAAACATTGGAAAGACAAGGGAAAAGAGAAGGAGGAGAAGGAGATCATTGTCATTATTGGATCTGTTTCAGTGATCCGATCTGCTCATTTCTGTCTACAACACCTGGCTGATTCATGAAATAAGGGAAAAGTGTGTAGTACAATATTTCGAAATCATTTTCACCAAACTTTTATACTTTGTGCTCAAAAAGGTAAACACATCCTTTCTGACGGACTCTATTCTCAAATTCTCGTAATAAGCCAGCATATTTACCAATTAGATTCTAAAGTCGAATTTCCCGAGATCGAATCAATGAACTTTCAAAAGATAGCCAAGATTTTCGATCAATTGGACCAATTAGACCAATCAATTGGACCAATCAATTGGACCAATCAATTGGACCAATCAATTGGACCAATTGGGCCAATCAATTGGACCAATCAATTGGACCAATTGGACCAATCAATTGGATCAATTTCGATCAATTGAAGCATTCGATCAATTGGACAAGCTTTCACTGCCAGAAAAGTAAAGATTTCTGTGCAAGGATGTCGATTTTTAAGCCCAAACTAACATCTAATTCTTTACCTAACAATCTTCCCTCGATCCAAAATCACAAATGAGATCTCCGTTGATACATTCGATCCTTTTATTGACATGACAATCACCGAGTTCTCCGCCCACATCGAGAGAGAAGCGATTGATTGTCTGAAAGAGAAATAGTGTTTGAAATTTCATAAAACCTTTCTAATCTGATACCTGAATCTCTTGAAAACGTCTGGATCAAGGAAATCATCTACAGTAGTCGATTTTAAGACTACAGTGACTGCTTCAGAAAGCCATCGTTGCGGAATGGCCGAGTAGAGTAAGCGCAAGGGATTGCACACGGTGTTTACCCCATCTGAAAGTCAGTTTATTTGTTATTTCAAGACTATGATTGGACATTGCTAGAGTTAGAGTTTAATTAATCCAACTTTTCTTTTTGATTAATCTTTTGAACTGTTTGATTTGATGTTTGATTAGATCTAACTTACAGTAGTCGATTTTAAGACTACAGTGACTGCTTCAGAAAGCCAACGTTTTTCTCAACTACTTTAATCACTTTTTTATCTAATATCTAATAATAAGTATTGTTATTTTAAAAAGATCACAGTCACAAAGATGATTGGATAAAATTACAGATTATTGTAAGTCTGAAATTTTAAGTTTACAATTGTTTTTTAAAAGTTGACAAAAGAAAGCGATTGCAGACGGGAAATCAATCATTAATTGAGCTTTATTTAAAGATTAAAGATTAAAGATATCTATTGTCTTTTTCTTTGATTTATATTTAAAGACACTCACCACTAACACATGCTTTCAAAATTGTATCAATATTTCGCTTCCACGAGCCTTTGAGTGAGATTTTTCCTGAATATCGATCAACGATCATTAAATCGTTTGACTCAATCGAGTACTCCAGAGTCGCATTTTGATCAGGATCACTGAAATTGTGGATATATTAGGTTGGTGCAGATGAAACTTCCGTCACACTTGTTTGTTTACATTTTGAACCTAATAAAAGTTTTTATTGAAGATATTTGTCTATCTGAAAGAGCGTCTCTTTGCGCGTCTTTTGATATCTAAGACTTATGCGTTTTACTTAATTTGAAGTAATTTTTAGCTTCTAGAAAATGGTTGACGAAAAATTTCGAGTGCGGGTTTGCTTGTTGTATGATTTTAAACAAGGCAGAACGCCTACGGAATCTCATCGTGCTCTGTGCAAAGCATTCGGCGATGACGTGTTGTCCGAACGTCAATGCCGGACTTGGTTTCAGCGCTTCCGAGACGGTGATGAGAGTTTGGAAGACGAAAAACGCGGGAATCCACCTCAAATTGTCGACAACGATGAGTTGAAGAACGCTATCGAATCGGATCCATGCCAAACAACTCGGGAGCTTGCAGAGCTGTTTGACTGCGACCATACAACCATTCTCCGCCATTTGCACGCAATTGGTAAGACGAATCGGTGTGGAAAATGGGTGCCACATCAGCTCAGCGACGCAAACAAAGCGACTCGAGCTACAATGGCTGGAATTCTCGTCCGCCGCGCAAAGACCGCCGGTTTTCTCGACTCCATTGTTACGGCAGATGAAAAGTGGATATGTTACGACAACACAACAAGAAAACGGCAGTGGTTGGACGCCGGTGAACCGCCAAAACCGACTCCCAAACCGAATGTCCACGGAAAAAAGGTGATGCTTTGTATTTGGTGGAATAGTAAAGGTCTCGTGTATTTTGAGGTGCTGGATTCGGGCCAAAGAGTCACGGCGGATCTCTACAAAGCCCAATTGGGCCGTGTGGACCAGGCATTGCGTCGTCAAGGCAATAACACAGCGACTACAAAATTCCTCCACGATAACGCTCGACCCCACACCGCAAAGATCACCCAGCAGAAAATCGAGGAATTGGGCTGGGAAGTTCTGCCTCATCCGCCATATAGCCCGGATTTGGCCCCATCCGACTACCACTTGTTTCGGTCGATGCAGCACTCTCTAGCAGAAAAAAAATTCAAAAACCGCGAAGAAGTTGAAATCTGGGTGTCCAACTTCTTCGAGTCGCAGTTGCCCGAGTTCTTCGAAAAGGGCATCCATTCTCTGCGTGGAAGATGGCAAAGAGTCATTGATAATGATGGCGAATATCTTTTGGATTGAGGTTCTGTATTAGGATTTTTATAATAAATTTTGTGTATGGTTCCAACGGAAGTTTCATCTGCACCAACCTAATAGTAAAGAAATAGCAAAGCTAAAGCCCAAATCCATCTAAAGTAAGAATCAATAATCTGCCAACAGGATTGAACTCTTGCCTCGTGACTAAGATAACTCTTAACAAGTCGGTCATGAAAGTAATGGCCAGCCATTAACCCTTAGCTTTCCTCAAACTCACAAAGCTGGGATTGATCCAAATTTCTCAATAATCGGTCCATCTAAGAAACGATTAATCAAGAGAACTGATGATCGCAATGTTGGTGGATGATCATTCACATCAGAGACATGGACACGAACGGGCACTGTCGATGAGAGTTGACCGCTAAATATCGGGATTTTCATCGTAAATCTTGTATTATAGTATGTAAAGATGAATGGAGATTTGTCGCATGCAAATTCTTCTGTAAAAAGCGCACAAACGAACCTGGACGCTTGAACCTCTAAGCTGAAAGCGTTCGTCTTGCTCTCGTAGTCGAAAGGTTGCTTTGAGAGCAGTTTCACGACTCCTTTCTGAAATGAATTTTGAAATTTGCATTATTTATGAAATTTGAAATAATCTATAAGTTTAAGTATTCATTTTTCTACCTGTACTGGATCCGATTCGAGCTCAAAGAGACGAGCATCTGTACCGCCAAAGACACGAAACTCGATTTCTGCATTTGATCCCTGAGAAATAGCTATTTACAATGCTTTTCTATTACTATTATGTTAGTTAAACTTAATAGCCTGTCAGCCTACAACAAAGCCTATAAGCCTATCACAGCCTAGAAGCCTATAACAAAGCCTATAAGCCTATAACAGTCTATAAGCCTATAACAGCCTATCAGCCTATAACAAAGCCTATAAGCCTATAACAGCTTATCAGCCTATAACAAAGCCTATAAAATAGCTTTGTTATATAGTAAATTTTAATTACACTATTCTTTTTTATAACCGATTTTAGAAGCAAATTGCGCGAAAAAGCATCAAGAGTTTTCATTTTTTAACTATGAAATTTGCATATAGGCGAATTTAAAGATAATTACTATATCAAATTGTATTAATTATACTTTTAGGAATTAAACTTTTACCTCATCAGGATCCGTGGCGACAAGCGTGCCAACAAGGGTTCCTGCCGGAGCATTCTCCGCTATCCACAAGTCATAAGATGATTGCGAGAATTTTGGCGGATTATCGTTTACATCCTGTAAAGATATGAATAGATTTGATCGAAAACTATAATCAAAATCGGGCCAGGTAAAGTCTAACTTGAAAGTCATTCAAGAAAGTCCAAGATCTGGCTTCTGACCTTCTGCCTGATTGAACTAACCGACGTCTAGCTGGCAGGGTTGAACCCTTGATCTCCCAACTAAGATACAGAGCTCTTAGCCAGTCGGTCATGGTAGCCATTTTAGGCGCAAAATAAAGTTGGACTTGATTTTACCTGTAGCATGACGGTGATGATGGAGTTGGCGCTGAGTGGTGGACTGCCACGATCTTTCGCGTACACCGGCAGGGTGATTCTAAAGAGATATTTTGAAATAGTTTTTTGTAATTCTAAAGAGATACTCTTGTTTTTAAGTTTAATGATATTAGGCTTATCATTAAAAAAGGTAATAGTAGATTAAATCTAGAGCAAATCTAGATCAAATCTTTTTTTTTAAATCTTTCATATTTTTGTACTTTTTACAGACTTTCAGTACTTTTCTTTCCTTTTTTTCTTCTTTCTTTCTTCTTTCTTCTTTCTTTCTTTCTTCTTTCTTTCTTCCTTCTTTTCTTCCTTCTTTTCACCTTTCTTTTCACCTTTCTTTATTCTTTCATTTCAAAATCTTTTATCAAGACTGTAAGATAAGAATAGAGTCCTATTTCTATAAGCTTTCTCTTTCATATAGTTAGTATTGATTTTCTCAAGAAAATAAAGTCATTCCCCACCCAATTCGATGCCATTTTTCTGCCCGTAGTAACCCCCGTAAATGGCCCTCCCTTCACCCATTTGGGTTCTTTGAGGGAAATTGCAAATGAGAAATTTCGCCATAGTATTTTGGATAAAAGGGAAAGAGCTAAAAGATGCAAAAACAGACCCATTTTCGATGTGGAGACAGGAATGGGATTCTTTTTGACTTTTTCCAAGTCCGTTCATAATTTCAGGCCATAATTTTCCACCCCAGTATAAAGAAAAACGTTTTTGGGCCTAAAGAACTAGAAGAATTATGAGCTTGGTGGGATTATTTGGCAACTAGTAATGTAAATAACTTGTTGGACAAAGAAAAAAGCTTGTCTGCTGAATTTTTATGATCTTATTTATTTGAATTTCAAACATTTAGTGTTAATTATTTTATGGATATTGCAAAGGACTGGAAAGCAAGTTCAGAAGGAAATCTAAGAAGCCAAAAGGCTGTGATTGTAAAATTAGAAGTTAGAAAATGATTTCTGACACTTTCTGACGCTTCTGACGTTGATAGGCTGTTTAGTTTCCAAAAAAAAAAAATTCAATTTCTTGATTAGGTTCTTGATTTTTGAGCAATATTATTTTCATTATTGAAGTTTTAAAAAAAAGTTTGATAATTTCATTCTTTTTGGTTTAAAATTCGATTTAATAGATAGATTTTATAATAGATTTTATAATAGTCACTCACATTGGCAACTTTTCTCTATCCAATTTTTGATTGACTCTCAGTGTGCCCGAGGTTCGATCCAAGCGAAAAAGCTCAGCTCCGATGCCACTCGCATTCAGGAAATAGTCGACGATTCCATTCGTTCCACCATCTGTATCAGTGGCCATGATCTGTAATCATTCAAATATTCTATTTTTTAAAGAAAACTATCATGTATAGAAATCATGGAATCAAGCAAAAAATCTTTTGAAAGAGAAAGTTTGAGTGAATCTCATTTTGGGATCAGTTATCGTTTCGTTTTCTGTTTCATTTTACTAGAAAAAGCTTGATATGTTTTTTTGAAGCTGTAGATAAATACAATTACAGTATTTCTTTATACTACAGTACTAATTTATGTAATAGACTACATATAATACCATGAATAAAGTTTAGAAAAGCAAAAATGAGATCTCAGTGATTTGCTAAGGATTGAGGTAGCTTTATGAAGTCGAATAGTACAAAAAAGTCTATCTAAACTTAGATCTTCAATAGAATAGCTGTCTATATAGTTATTATGTAGTTATTATGGAATAGACAGGTACCAAGGGTTGCTGTAGCTTACTGTTACCAAGGGTTGATGTAGCTTAGCTTACTTTAAGCTTACTGTTAACTTATTGTTACCAAGGGATGCTGTAGCTTACTGGAAGCTTACTGTTAACTTATTGTTAGCTTACTGTAGCTTACTGTAGCTTACTGTTACCAAGGGATGCTGTAGCTTATTGTTAGCTTACTGCTACCAAGGGTTGCTGTAGCTTACTCTAAGCTTACTGTAGCTTACTGCAAGCTTACTGTAGCTTACTGTACTAGTTCTTGCTAATTTCAATAAACCTTATCGTAAATGAAAATTCTGTAGTGCTTGATGAATCAAATTTACATTTAACAAATTTTTAACAAACATTTGCATTTAATAATGAAATTTCTAATGGAAATTCCCCTCCAAAAAAACCCTTTTTAACCTGTATAAATGACGTGCCGACGGCGATATCCTCCGAAACAGTGGCCATATAATTTTGTGAGGAAAATTCGGGAGCATTATCGTTCACTGAATATTAAACATTAAATATATATATATCTATTTTTACACCTCTAAAATCTATTAACGAAATTTTTACCCTCCACATTTCTTTTCCATTTCCCCAAAAAGAGATCCCGCAGTGCGATAATCTCTCTTCACCTCAGACATTTTGAAATATGCTAATTTCTCCTCATATTGAATGCCTTTCAAATAAAAACCCCGATTATTGAGAAGTTCAAAGGGTGAAGAAAAGAGATTAGATCAAGAATCGTTTAATAGAATTGAAACCGCCTTCTAACACGCAGAACATTTTCTGCTCTGAGCCTGTGAGCTCAAAGCCAGCACCTGCTTTGAGCACCAATCCAATCCTATCAATTTTTCTAAGCTAAAAACTCATGTATGCTCTTCGGCTTTTCGGAATCTTATAGTTAGTAGAAAGTCAAACTCAAAATCACCTCACGGACAAGGCCAGACAATCTGCCTAATCCTGACCTCTAGCCTCTAGCCTTTAGCTCTAGCTCTAGCATTCCCTGGCCCTGTCCCTGGCTTGACCTTAGCTTGGCCCTGGCTCTGGCGTGCTTACCCTGGCCTTTTCATGATCCTGATCCTTACCCTAGCCCATCTAATCCTTGAGCCAGCACCTGCTTTAAACACCAATCCAATCAAATTTTAAATCGAAACAATAGAATCCTTTTCCTGTTTCCCAAACCACAATCTCACTTCCCGTCAAATTGTTATTCATTCCCACCAAGAGACACTCGAATTTTCGGCTTATAGCCTTACTATTAGAATCATGGCATGGGAGAGAATGAGAATTTCCGGTAAATAGGTGGTGACAGCTGGCTGGGAGGCTGCCTTTTAGTCTTTTTGATATTGAGCCATGTCTTTTGAGGACAAAAAGGCATCCAGACATCCCCCATTTGTCCATATTTGCACAGTTGCCTTCTCATATAATCATTTTGAGTCATTTCGCATTAAGGAAAAGAAGAAATTAGTGACGGAATTAGAGGAAATGCGTGAAAACAATCTGGAGCTGGTGGTGGAAAGCTGGGAAACATTGGAGTTAGATTAGCTAGGGTTATTTTTTCAATTTCAACAGTTTCATTTACGTTTTAAAGTCAGTTCCATTTCTAGTGCATTGTTGAATGCTGGCGTTGCACAAAAGTATTTTTCTATTACAAACCGTCATCCAGGGTAACTTCGATGATTGTCGACGAGCTGAGTGGAGGATCGGCTGAGTCGGTAGCAGTTACAGTTAGACTAAAAATAAGAATATAGCTAGGACATGTCGGTCTTTTTATGGCTGCTGGTGGACAAGACAAAAAGCAGCTGGCGGATTCGAACCCGCCGCCTCTCGAAACCACGACTGCTTACGCTCTACCAGTTGCGGATCTCTACCAGCTCTACCAGGCGAACGCTCTACCAATTGCGCTGATGTGGTGCCGCCAGAGTAGCTTATCCTTTACTGTACAACCTATTGAGGTCAACCACTCAATTTCAAGAGGGTCAGCCACTTCTTCTGGTGAGTTAAGGCAAGCTATTGTGGCTGGTGAGTTAAGGCAAACTATTGTGAGAGTTTTAAAGCCCACCTATGACTGCTTTGCTCTTCTCGGTCCAATAAGCCAGCTACCGTAATCTCTCCAGTCACATTGTTGATCTCGAAAAGATCAGAGTCAATCGAGTAGGTGATCTCAGCGTTATCACCGCGATCTGTGTCTTCAGCCTAAAGTCAATCATATTAGCATAATCTAAACTCTATAATTTGTCTTTTAGAATCAAATTAGAACGAAATTTTCTCGCATACCCTGACAACGATCACTTGATTTCCAATTAGGGAATCCTCAGGGATATGCACGGCAAATGGTTGTGGTGGGAAACGAGGCGGAGAGTTCACATCAGTCACCTGGATTTGAATAGATTCACATTTAAAACCAAATTCTTATCTCTTCTTATTCTTAAATCTCTTCAACTTACATGAATATTGATCGTACAAGTCCCTTTAAGTCCTCCATCGTCTGACGCGGAAACAACGACTTTCAGCGAGTGATCTGTCGGTCGTAGCGTTTCAGAAAGCGAAAGAAGAGCACCCTGGAATCAAATATTTCATTTAAATCTAGAAAAAGAAAAACATTTGACTAGTCTATCTCTATTTACTTGATCTCCCAGATCGATGAGTGCCACTAAACCATCTCGATCTTGATGCTCGATTCGATAGAAAAGTTTCGGTTCCTCGTCACGATCTTCGGCGCGAACGATGGCTATCTGAAAAGTTATTGGATTTTAAATCTACATTATCTAAAGTACTATAGAAATTCAAGTAGTCAAGAATTTGCTTAAAAAAATAGATTAAAAAAGATGAGATCAAAAAAAAGATGATCAAAAAAAAGATGATCAAAATCTTGATCCCGGTACTTTCCATAAAGTAAATAAGGCAACTAATACAAGTAATAGCTTAAAAATTAGCATTTTATAAGCATTTTATAAGCATTTTATAAGCATTTTTATAAGCCTTTTATATAAAACTATCGTTAAGTGAAATCCTTTTTTCTAAAAAAACTCGAATTTTATTCACCAACCTGTGCTCCAATTTGTGTCTCCTCAGAAAGAGTGACATTCATTTCAGCAGGTCGAAAAATCGGCGCATTATCGTTGATGTCTCGAACCAAAATTGTCATCTAAAGATTAGTATAAATGAAAATTTAAATTAAAAAACTATCTATAGTATATTTTAAAGTATAAAATAGTATAAAATAGTATAAAATAGTATAAAATAGTATAAAATAGTATAAAATAGTATAAAATAGTATAAAATAGTATAAAATAGTATAAAATAGTATAAAATAGTATAAAATAGTATAAAATAGTATAAAATAGTATAAAATAGTATAAAATAGTATAAAATAGTATAAAATAGTATAAAATAGTATAAAATAGTATAAAATAGTATAAAATAGTATAAAAGTATAAAATAGTATAAAAGTATAAAATAGTATAAATCTATAGTATAAAATCCAAATTTAAATCCAAACCTGCGTGCCAGCGCTCAGCTGAGGCTCACCACCGTCAGTGGCTTTTACCTACAAAAAAAATGATGAGATTTGAAGAAAAATCTTTTGTTAAATATATTTAAAGATCAATAAACAATAGCCTATTAGATAATATAGTTATTAAAGTTTAAATCGAAAACATTTATCCCAACCGTTAGCTCGTATCTTTGTGTCTCTTCTCGGTCAAGAGTTTTGTTGGCGATAATGATGCCTGTTTCAGGATCGATTTCAAAATCTGATGAGCCCTAAATAAAAATTGATTAAATATATATGTAAATTTAAGTATATTTAAATTATAATTCATCTTAACTTGCTGAAAAGTTCAATCATGGTTGATCACAAATAACTAGATTGTTGCCAGGCAAGCAAGGCAAGCAAGTCAAGCAAGACAAGCAAGCCAAGCAAGACAAGCAAGTCAAGCTAGCCAAGCAAGCCAAGCAAGACAAGCAAGCCAAGCAAGACAAGCAAGCTAAGCTAGTCAAGCAAGCCAAGCAAGGCAAGAAAGGCAAGCAAGGCAAGCAAGCCAAGCAAGCCAAGCTAGCCAAGCAAGCCAAGCAAGCCAAGCAAGCCAATCACGACAAGCAAGCCAAGCAAGACAAGCAAGCCAAGCAAGACAAGCAAGCCAAGCAAGACAAGCAAGACAAGCCAAAGTTTTCCTACTGTAAACCAGGCTAGTAATACTTATATTTATACAGAAATCGTACCTCTAAAGAGTATCGGATTTTCCCATTCACTCCTGTGTCTTCATCAATCGCGTAAACCCTGGCCACCTCTTCGCCTTTCTTTATCCCCTCATCAACCAGCACCGATTTTTGAGCAGCAATGAAGCGCGGAGCCTAAAAGGTTACAGTTACAGTAATCCAGTCAATTTTTCACATGATCATTTATATCCAGAATTTGTAGACTCAGTGTAGCCGTGGTGGAGAGCGCTGGTTGAGCGCCGTCTTTCGCGCGAACGACGAATGTTCGGATCCCGCTCCGGGCATCAATTTTTCTCCGAAGTGTCACCTGAATAATTGATTTGTTTTTAAACTTGTATAAAATAGACTTATAGCGATTATAGCCGTAACTAGTACACCAAGGTACATTGGTACAAGTTGATAACTAAGGACACAGTTATATCATAGCTGATGGAAAAACAGTTTCTAGCAGACTTCTACAGAACTCTAGATACTTCTAGATATCTTTAGCGTATTTATAGAGAATTCGTTCACCTCTCCAGTCTTATAATCAACATGGAGAATATCGGATGAAGTGACCATTCCATAGTGAACTCTTCCATTCGCTCCATTGTCCAAATCGGTGGCTTTCAAGCGAGCTACCAACACTGGGATCGTTGTGTTCTCGAGTACAGTGATGTCGTAGTTTGACTGAAAAGTTAGAGTCTAGATTGGACTGTAATTGGATAAGGAAATAAAGCCCATCCTGGCAACAATGGGATACGTGTCTGTAGCTCTGTAGCTGTCTGTAGCTGTCGCGGGTTCTAATCCCGGCGCTGACTATATTTTGTCTTCCCAACCCGTGCCCAATTGGTTTGAATGCTTTAAAGCTTACCCCGCTTTCTTGAATACTGTAATGTCATTGGATACTAGGCATTTAAGACAACCACAACTACTGTACCTGCTCAAAAACAGGCGCATTATCGTTCACATCATTGATAGTGACTTCAATGAGAGCTTTGGATGAGAGCTGGGGTTTGCCTTGATCCGAGGCGATCACGTTGACTCTAGAATTTATGAGTACGGTATTATTACGGCATAATATGCAAATTGTGGTGTAAATTTGAAACTACTTTATCAATGGCAATGTCTCTCGGTCGAGCGCGGCCGCCGTTTGAATCACCCCGGATTTGGGGTTGATTTGAAGGAGATCTGAGCCTTCAGCTTCTTCCAGAGAATAGACAACCTAAAGGATTCGAATTAGATAAGGATTAGAGTTTAAAGAAATGCACAATAGATAGATAGATCGATGAAAAGTACTGTATTTTGAAAAGCAAACCTCTCCATTCGCACCCGCATCACGATCCCGGGCAAACACTGAGACAACAGTGGTTCCGATCTGAAATTAGGCTTTTGAATTTTCAATTTTGAACTTAATTCCATATTTTTCCAACTTTGGAACTTATTGGATTTGAATTTTAAGTTTTAAAAATTTGATTTTATATTCTGTAATGAATAGCTTCATATTTTCTGACTTTTTCAACTTTACAATGGAAGTTTTTGAACTCCGACTCTTCTTCTGCTTGTTTTTACTCGATTACTTTATAAACTCAGCCAATCTGGTGCACTGCAATTTGTTTTCTTACAGATTTTCTTTGATTAAGCAATTATCGAAAGCATTCAATGCTAGAAACGGTTTGTGTTAGCTTTCAAGCTCAAACTATTCAACGATCGCTTTGTTTTTCATCTTACTACTCTTTTTTTCGGGTTTAGATTGTATCTTTTTAAGGCAAATGAACGAGATGAGAATGAAAAGAAGCATGGGACAGATGGATGACCCTATCGAGAAAGAGAAAAGGATGGGACAAGGGCACAAGGGGACAAGGGTCTCCCCCCCGGTCACATATTGCATATTACAGGCTAACTCTGACCCTCCCCAATACACATACTAATTGCATTATTTGTCCTCGACCCTTGGGAAAAAGCGAAAAGCCTTTTATTATTCAAAATGAAACCCATCTTGAAGCTAATTTCTCTCTGGAAATTTGTTGGCTAGAATGGTGGCTAGAATTTTTAGCCAACAAATATTCCTAGCAAATGACAGATTAGGATTTGAAAGATATAGAAATATTAAAGAAATATTAAAGAAATATTCTTGAACAGTTGAAAGTACTCTTTTAAATACTTCTAGAACTTCTAGTACTTCTAGTTAAAAGTACTTCTAGTTGAAAGTACTTCTAGTTAAAAGTATTTCTAGTTAAAAGTACTTCTAGTTGAAAGTACTTCTAGTTGAAAGTACTTCTAGTTAAAAGTACTTCTAGTTGAAAGTACTTCTAGTTGAAAGTACTTCTAGTTAAAAGTACTTCTAGAATATCGTACCTCTAAAGAGTATCGGATTTTCCCGGATATCGGACTAAAGAGTATCGGATCTTAACTTAAAGACTATCGGATTCACTCCTGTCTCCTCATCAATCGACTATGATAAGTAATTGTAAAATAAACTAGATAAACATTGAAATATTATAGTTAACTCTTGATCAATAACAGTTTTTAAGTCAAGTTTTCTCGAAAAAAAAGGTGTGGTTGGGTGAGAAGGAAGCCCCCAATTACAGGTAAAGGATTGAATGGAGGAGAGCGACGGGGGAAAGCACCTGCCATGCTCCTCTGTGTTAGATTGGGAAAAGACTCGTGAACTCTAAACTGGATCAAATACTAGAGATTGATGCTTGGCTTGTACTTTGTAACCATGTAAGTCTCAGTGGTGCATCAAAAAGGGTTCTTCTCCATATTTGAGCTCAACGTACACCCATTACGTTGTGTCTCTTTTTATGTAAACCGAAATTGGTGCCAACCGGCTGTCCCTTTTCCCCTTTTCCTCAAGCGGTTGCCGCTTTTGATCGATTTTCTGTCATATTACCCTTTTGCTTGAACTGACCCATAAACAGGAAATGTTCGCTCAGCTTTCAACGATATTACTTCGATTTTACTGAGTCTAAAGAATCGAGAGGAAATTAGACAAAAGCTCTATTTTAAATATATAAATAAGCTAAGCACAAGAATCTTTCTTATGTTTATTATTTAGATGTACTTGTTGATTAGTTGTACTTGTTGATTAGATGTACTTATGATTAGTTGTACTTGTTGATTAGCTGTACTTGTTGGTCTTATCTTTATTTAACCTTTTACTATTAGTGCTATAATGAAAGTTAATCGAATATCAAGCTAGCTTGAACCTACCGTAAATACTGTAATAGTACCCCACCCCCCTCGTACAGTCGCGTAGTCGCAAAAGTTTTTTAGTATTTCATTTTTTTCAAAGCGCCCATACTTTCAAAAAATGCGTCTTTGGTATCAAAAAATAGCTGAAATTCAGGGCTATTTTTTTGATACCTAAGCGCGCATTGTAGCATAAACCAGTGTCGAGAACCACTCGTTCAAAGCTAGACTACACAACACTCCGCACGGTCATTGTGGGGGTGGGGTACTATTACAGCATTTACGGTAAGTTGTTTTTACTTCTGTAAACAATAAGTACCTATCAGCTGAGTATCTAAATCGATCTGTAATTTGATTTTTACTAATTATGTATTCAAAAAGTGATTGAAAGGTCGATTGGTTGAACAAAATAAGACCAAAATAAGACCAAAATAAGACCAAAATGGGACCAAAATGAGACCAAAATTAGTCTTAGCTCACTCAAATATCCAAATCGTATTGAAATCAGTCTCAAGCTCAATTATCTTGAAATCATATCATGTTAAGTAATATAGAATTTCTCTCTAAACAATCTAGATGTTAGTTGTTTTATTTTTAGAAACAAAATCATCTCAATTCTATGGCTTTCCCCAGCCTCTAGGTTAACAATGCGTAAATTGCGGCTTTGAATGGGTATTCGCGATGGAATGGATTCAGGATGGAAAGAGAAAGGAAAAAAGAAGTCAAAAATGGGAAGAAAGCTACGAATTTTGAGAATGTTGAGGGAAATTTTAGTAAAGTTTAGAGAATTTTAAAGATAGAGAGCAGAACTGTGACTTACAATTAGACAAGTCACTTGTTGCCTCTTAGCATTGCTGCCTCTTAGCATTGCTGCATCTTAGCATTGCTGCTTCTTAGGATTGCTGCTTCTTAGCATTGCTGCTTCTTAGCATTGCCTCTTAGCATTGCCTCTTAGCATTGTTGCCTCTTAGCATTGCTGCTTCTTAGCACTGCCGCTTTGCTTTGCTTTGCAAAAAAGCCGTTGCTTTCTAAATGTGCTTAAACAAACTGTAAAGCAACTTATTGTCAGTTTACAATGGCTTTAACTGTACCTAATCCTAGAAAAGTTCTAATCCTTTCATTTAGTTCATCAGAATCCTTTACAACTCATTTCCCATCAAACTATCAGCCTAGTACTACTTTCCAAAGTACTGCTAAGCCAAGTAAATTACATTTACTACATATTTCCATTTCTTATACATAAATAACTTTCCCCAGAAAAGTCGCGTTCTCTCTTTTGATAGAGAAAAGAAAAAGAAAAAGAAAACCTCGTTTTGGTTCTTTTCTACTCAAAAAAACACCCAAATACACACACACATTTGATTACTTTTTTGGAGTTGGAGAAAGTAGAGAATAGAAGTAAAGAAGTGAAGAAGTAACAATCAGATTTGTTGAAGGAAAAGCTGTAAACAAAAAGAAAAGCAATTGGTGAATGTCAAGAGCTAGTGCTTTTAATGGAATCTTTGTTGTTCAAAAGATGACAATCTTTACTTAACTTTATGATATCAGTATTAATAAGTACAGAAACGTTTTTAGAAATGTTTTCTATAAACCTTTGTCCATTTTCATCACCCAATAGAGGTGTTCCTTTTTGTGTAAAGAAGCAAATCGTAAAATCGGCGGAAACTTTGGAAAAGAGTTTTCCGAAAGACGGGTAACTCGATTATTCCCAAGTTGGAAACTGATCGGATTCTTTTTGGAAAAAGAAAAAGATTCGAAAAAGAGGTGTACCCTAAGGCTAGAGAGGCTAAAGGAAATGTTTTGTGGGTGTCATTAGACTCTTTTTTTCCTTTCAGCTATCAGAAAAAGAAAAACGAAACGAAAAAGAGTAGATAAAGCTTCGTAATTTCGTATCTTTTTGGTGTTTTGTGCTCAATTATGAAAATCTTGAATTGAACTCAGAAAAGCATTCTTTAAACTCGTGGTTCAGAAAAGTAGTCTTTTTGCTGACGATAGCGAGCTGACCAAGCAATTCTGTGGAAAAAAAACGAGAAGCTCTGTCCACTAGAAAGGGGTATGTTTACATTTTTAAGCACAAAAAAGACATCTTTTCGTACTAGATCTGTTATCGGAAAGATGCAAATGAAAGCCATTCCTTTTTTCCCTTATGAGGCTTCTTCCAGTTTCCCCTTTCCCTACTATTAGTGCCGTAATGGAAGTTAATCGAATATCAAGCTAGCTTGAACCTAAGTTGTTTTTACTTCTGTAAACAATAAGTACCTATCAGCTGAGTATCTAAATCGATCTGTTATCGGAAAGATGCAAATGAAAGCCATTCCTTTTGTCCCTTATGAGGCTTCTTCCAGTTTCCCCTTTCCCGTTCGCCGAAAGCTCATTTTCCCGGATTTTGGATGAGAATCGGAAAGATTCAAGAAAAAGAAGACCAAAAATAAGGAAGAACTAAGAAATAGACTTGAATAAATGAAGAATTGAACTGAGAAACGTTAAAAGAAAAGATCTAAACTAGTCAGGATTAAGAATTAAACAATAATTGAATCTAAAAAAGTTGAAAGACTGAGATGAGGATTGGCAAAGAAAAATCTTTTTCAGTCTTTTTCCTGAAAAGTCTTTTCAAGTCAAGTAAAGCTAAAGCCAAGGTTTTTAAGCCAAATTCAACAGATTGAAATTTCAGGTTAATTCAATTTAAAAACCATTAGCTTTGGTTTAGCCTTGGCTTTGGTTTAGCCTTGGCTTTGGTTTAGCCTTGGCTTTGGTTTAGCCTTGGCTTTGGTTTAGCCTTGGCTTTGGTTTAGCCTTGGCTTTGGTTTAGCCTTGGCTTTGGTTTAGCCTTGGCTTTGGTTTAGCCTTGGCTTTGGTTTAGCCTTGGCTTTGGTTTAGCCTTGGCTTTGGTTTAGCATTGGCTTTGGTTTAGCCTTGGCTTTGGTTTAGCCTTGGCTTTGGTTTAGCCTTGGCTTTGGTTTAGCCTTGGCTTTGGTTTAGCCTTGGCTTTGGTTTAACCTTGGCTTTGACTTTGCTTTAAACATTCGAATTGATCAGTTAATTGGAATAATGGCTAGGAAAAATGTAAGCGCAAATAGAATCGTTAAAAAAAAGTGATTTTAAAAATGAGTCCATTTAAAAGAACAATGCTTATTGATAAAAATATGCAAAAATCACCGGCGCATCTTCGGAAATCTCAGCCACATAGGAATCACGTTCAAATTGCGGGCTATTATCCTGCACATCGCTCACTTCAACAACGACAGAAGCTGAGGAAGAAATTGATGGATCGAGACGCTCAAAAGCTGTCACCTGAAAATATTAGATTAAATTGAAATCAATATTGTTTTTAGATCAAACCTTGAGCACGTGTCGATCGAGGGTTTCTCGGTCGAGCGCTTTCGCTAAACGGATCTCGCCAGAGAGCTGAAAATCGCGTGTACTTTGGCCAGAAATGGCTCAGAAATGGAAACACACTCTTTCTGATGCACTTTTGGATTTCATTTTCTAGAGAAATTGTATCATTGATGCAGGGAAATGAAGCAAAGCCGCTTTCTAGTTTTCTCTCGCGGTCAAGTTTATGGTAAAAGCTTGAGCTTTGTCTGGAATCAAAACTTTCCAATAAAATGTCATGTTTCTCGGTCATCAATGTCCCCAATGCACTCAATGTTTCCAATTTTCGTGAATTTTTGACAAGATCGACTTTTGAAAGAGAAAAGGGGACTGACTTTATGGAAAAGGGGGGATGGTTGTGTGCTTGATTTCGTATTCTGCGGTCCTCTCCTTTTTCAGGCCACCCCAATAGCCTTAGGAACCAGTTCCTGGGCCGACAAAAAGAAATAGACCAATTTACGAGCAATTCTTTCATTTCACACCCAATTTTTCTTGGAGAATTTTTAAAAAAAGACCCAAATGAAGACAAGGAAAGACAAAGAGAAGAGATGATTGAATCAAATTTGTGCAATTGCTTTAAATGGCTGAAGCTTGCTACTAGCTTTTTCGAGATGAACTTTAGAATGACTAGAACTTGTTTTTTGCTGTATACAGATCTTCGTTTACGTTTGCCAACTCACAAAAAATCCCATCAACTCAACTAGATTCCTAATTCCTAATTGCTCTATCGGTCCAAGGTCTGTTATTATATTTTTGAGTAGAATGGGATGACCCTTCAAAGAGAGAGACTCATAAGGATCATGATATACGGTTGAATGAATAAATTGTGACTGTTTACAATTGCATCAAAAAAAAAAACAATAAGCCAGCTGGACAGAATATTTGAAAGGAGAATTATTTAAGTTAAGCGAAAAAGGGATCATTTGAGGTAGTTAAATACTAGCTAGTTGTTAGAGGTAGTTAAATACTAGTTAGTTAAATGCTAATTTTAGGCCTTTATGCAAAGCTCAAAGGTCTTCTAGCTTCTAGATAATCTTAAGCTAGAAATTACTGTAAAAAAAACTTGAACTGGGACCAAAAATTTACATGCATAGTTTCAAAACTATAATATACATTTTCCACTCACCGTATCTAGGGTGAAAATATTCTGCGATCGGGCATCCTGTGGCGCAGCCATGCTGTAGTAGAGTGGATGACCGGCCGCATGAGTGGCAGAAACGGTGACAACATTTGACCCAACCACAGCGTCCTCAGCCAACTCTTTCACGTAGCTGAAAAAAATGTTTCTGTGTTTAGTTTTTGTCATTATGCTAATTTCTTGTTTTCTTTATTGACTTTATTCTTTATTCTTTTATCAACCTTTTCTTTAATCTCATTACTTTTTTCAATCGATAGTTACGAAAGCTACTATCAGACAGCTAATATCAGAAAGCTACGATCAGAGAGCTAATATCAGAAAGCTACTATCAGAGAGCTAATATCAGAAAGCTAATATCAGAAAGCTACTATCAGAGAGCTAATATCAGAAAGCTACTATCAGAGAGCTACGATCAGAGAGCTAATATCAGAAAGCTACTATCAGAGAGCTAATATCAGAAAGCTACGATCAGAGAGCTACGATTGTCAGGGTCTTTCTAGACTTCATTTCACCGTTTGCCCCAAAAATTAGTTTCGAAGCTGAAGGGGAAATTGTGGAAATTGTGGAAATTGGTAGTAGTGAGAATGAGAAAGAGTACTCATAATTCCATTGGGTGCAGGGGACCAAAACCCCTTGTCCCCTGTCTCTCCTCAACCCAGCAATTAACCTTGCCCATCCCTTTCCCCCAGCTTTTCCCTTCATTATCCCATTTTCTTTCTTAGATACAACTATTGATTGGGCATACCTTTGCTGTTGAAATTGAATGGCTCCTTGATGAGGATTGCGACGACGTGACCAGCGCTTAGAGCGGCTGAAAGTTAAAATTGAAAATTAAAAATATCTCCAATAAACTAAAGATAAATTTGCTTGATAGATCTTTGAATTTTTAGATAATTATCAGTGAAAGATTGAAAGACTACGCTTAACGATTTAACGACTAAAATGCTGTCGTATGGCCAATCTTTAAGTTCTTTAAGTTTTTTTTAAACCAACAAATGATTCTGATTCAGTTTTAAATTATCGACTAATCTTTAAATAAAGTTTTTAGAATTTCTATAGAGCTATTTTTCGATATTTAAACTCTACCTGGCCGCTCGTTTCTGAAGAGAACTTCTTTTCACACGTTTTTTCTCAAAGACTCGACTCGATCTCTTTTCCCGTCGCTGCTTTGAGAATAAAATGTGTCCTAAACGAAATTCTCCATGAAGAGTGGCGTTCGAGCAACGATACGAATAGTCGATCACGTGGATTGTATCTAGAAAAAGATTTTTGAGTTCAATTTGTATTCAATATTAATTAGATCATTGCAACTCCATTATAACTTAATTTTTGAAATCATTTTCTTCTTTGAAGGATAGTTTGTTAAAATTAGCAAGTTTAGTTGGCTAATTCAATGCTAATTTTGGAAGGTTTATGCAAATTTCAAATGTATTTTGCTTTTAGATATCCGCATTTACCGTAGAAACAAAGTCTCTCGCGGGCAAAGACGAGTCCAGCCGAGTCGACGGAGATTTGCATGGAGTGAATCGATGTGGCGAGTGGGCATTGAGGTGAGAATTTTTGAGGAGATTGGATCTCATCATCCACCTCATTCACATCAATTTCTTCATTCAATGATGGCCAGCTAAAGAAAATTCGATTCAATTCAATTCAATTCAATTCAATGTTGAAAAAGCTACGACAAAAAGTCCATTAACTTTTTCTATATCAGTGAATTTCTGCCAGCTCTTCAATCACTTTAGTCAAATCTCAAAACCTCTAGACATAGATTTACATTTAATTCATGATTAAGCTACTCAAAAAGCTAACTATTAGGTTTTAAAAGTGAACAAAACTAGTCACTAGATCTTTTAGTAGACATTTAAAGTTAAAATCGATGAACTTAGATGAAAAGACAGCTATGTACTAGTTTTAAATCAATATTTTGAGCTATAAGTTTCTAAAATTTCATTCTAATAGGCACTCACACAAAAATCGGTTGTCCCGGATGAAAGCACGGGGGGTCGAGCATAGGGAATCCAGTGAATGGCGGTCGGATGCGGGACAAGACAACCATGACAAACTGGGATTGATGGACGGACGAAATATGGATCAAGAGGATTTGAATTTGTTTGGGAGATTGATAGGGAGATTGATAAGAAGATCAGAGAAACGAATAGAATCCGGCTCAGTGAGCCCATCGAGGCCGACCCCTGCACGGGCGGGGAGGGGTCAGCGTTTCTGAAATAGAGTTAGATTTGAAAAGCTGAAAGGTTGAAAGGCAAAGTAGCAAAGCTAGTGGTAAAAGAAGATTCTAGCAGCTGAGTATAGGATTTTGGTCAGATTTGGCTCCAGGAGAAGCGATCACTTTAGGAAACAAAATGGCAAATGGTAAACAAATGGTAGAGTCATTTGTTGACCTCAAAAAAATAAACAATCGAATCAGATTCTCAAGAGATGGATCTCAAGGATGGGGTGAAACCCTGGATAGAATAGGAAAGAGATGGGATGGAAAGAAAGGGGAGGGTCAAGCTAGATCTGGGGGAAGGGGCGGGGCTAGGAGCCTCTAGCCAGCCTAGCACCTCCCCAACCCATGAAAGGACCCCTTCCCTTTTCATCACAATGCCCACTCAAGCCTTGGTAGAAGAGAGAGTAGCTTTCTTCACCTTTCACCCCTTTCCATTCTAATCCCATTCATGATCCGGCTTGTCTTCTCCAGCCAGAATTCGTTCAATTCAATCCAGTCTCTCGATTTGACGAGTTTCATGAAATTTACATCAAAAGACAAGAAAAAGTCGTTTAGTGACGTTTAGTTTTAAGAATTTAGATTCGGAACACATCTCTGCCCTCAATTCCCCTCATCACAATGCCCACTCTTTCTCGAGAGAGTAGCACCTTTCATCCATTCTTCCTCTTACCCCTCAAATCCCATCCATAGCCTGGCCACTTCTCCCTCCCCGAACAACACTGACCAGGTGGACGCAATTTGCATGCCATCCTCTCCCTTTTCTTTTCTTTTCTATACAAAGCTCCCCTAATTAAAGAAGGCGGAAATTGGGAGGGATTTGCCGAAATATAAGTGCAAATGTTTAGATCTGTCCTATTAGGCTATCAAATTTGAATCAATATTTAAACTAAATATTAGCAATATAGGATAGTAATCAAAAGCAATAGAAGCTAGAGAGTTTTAATTTACTTACAAGAGAATATCAACTAGATTTGATGGCCAAATGACATGTGTCATCGGTTATTCGACGCAGAATTCAACGCCGATTTCGAAACTGCCTTCCATGAAGCACTCTGTCAAAAATTAAATGTATGCAAAGTTTTGTATGGGATTTCAAAAGTCACACCCTGAGTTTATAAGCAAATTTCCCAGAAGCTTTGGGAAGCGGTGGTAGCCGAGTGGCAGTGGGTTAGAATAAAAAGCAAAGACGCTGTTCGAGTTCGCCGTTCATTGTCCACAAGTGGCACACATTGGCCACCACACCCAGTTGACATTCCCTTGTCAGTAAACTTTTCAGAATTCATTTGGCGGTGGTGGCCGAGTATACTTATCAGATAACGATTATCAAAATAACTAAAAAAAGATACGAGAGTTGTAAGATGTAAATTGTACTTTCAAGTTCTAATTGAAATCGTTTGATGTAAAATAAGGAAATTAGATATGTTTAGATATTATCAATAGATAAATAACATGTTTATGTAACATTGTTATTGTTCTGTTGTTCTGAAAGGATTCAAAAATGATTCGAAATCGTTTTTGGATAAAAAGATGTCAAATTGATCTCATAACAACAATGATTCAGAGATGGAAGAGAAAGGATCGGTTATATTATAAAATTTCCACATTGATCAGTAGATATTGCGGTACAAGTTTTCCCCAAAATCGAGTCCTACTCGTGAACATCAGCGGCAGGTGAAGGGGTCGTCTGGCTACGAACCAATGGAGCCAGCGTTCGTCCAAGAATATCCTAAAATAGCTTGGTTTTGGATGACGGTAGAAATATAGGTTTGAATAGCTAGATTTGATCATTATGTTCCTTCTTAAATATAGATAGATTTGACTCTTCCTTAAATTCCTGGTCATTTCCAAAAATTGCAAAAGATCTCGACCACGGAAGGATTCGAACCTTCAATCTTCTGCTCCGTAGGCAGACGCGTTATCCATTGCGCCACGCGGCCATGTGGCGGCGGGGCGAGTGATGGACTTTTGTGCTGACATGGCACAAAAAATTCGTTAATTCGCTAAGTGAAATAGCTCTTTGAGAGTTATTAAAGTTAACTTTTGATTTTGAATGAAAACTTTTGAATAAAGGATGGAGAAATAAAACTCTCATCGTTCCATCATAGGCTTAGCTTTATTTTGGTGGTTTTCAGGGTGTAGAATTTGTTCTAAAAAACGAAAAATACAGCTACTTCTGTTCAAAAATCAATGCCAGAGATTTTGGCGTAAATGATTCGGCTTTTGCCTTCAATTCTTCAAACTTTAAACCCTTTTGAGCTTTTCCCAGGTATTTCTCTTCACTAGAGTGCAATTTTAAAGTTCGAACACTTCAAAATCTTTATCACAATTAAAAATTCTAAATAAAAACGAAAAAAGAAAAAAAACAACATTAAAACAAACCCATTTCGATTGCTATATAGAAAAAAAAAGGGGAAAATAGAGAAATTTTCATTAAAAAAATATAGAATCTTGACTAGAGAATGGCTTTTTTTACGAAATAACAAAAAAAACGATCACAATTGTTGATCACATAGAGGAAAGTTCAATCAAAAAAAAGTCGATTATCTATAAAGCTTACAGTACTCAAAATCGGATTGTAAAAGTGTAAAAAGTGTAGAATCGAAATTTTGACATAACAGAGCTTGTGGAACCAATTTGAAATGAAAGACAAAACGGCTAGGTCAAATTACAGAAAATTGTTGATTTTTCTCTTTGTATAACTCCGTCCGTTCGCTTCCACAAGCTCTGTTATGTCAAAATTTCGATTCTACACCCTCAAATTACCTAGAAAAACAACATTTGGAATAGAAATTGGTTAATATTAGCTTTTAGAGCTTTTTTAAAACGCGAAAAAAGGTGCGCTAATGGGCTAAGTGCGGAAAAAAAGGTGCGCAAATGTCCGGGTGCGCAAAAAAAGGTCGCATTTGTCCCACTCCCAATAACTGTAAATTTTTCAATCCAGTATTTATTTATTGAAGAAAAATCAAATTTTTGAAAAAATTTAGAGGAAAAGAAGAGAGAGGGGAAGGGAGTTTCAATAAAGATAAAGAAAGTTCAATAAAATACAATAAATCTTTTGATTATGTTGAATAGAAAATATGTAAAGTAAGATATAATTCAATTTAGACTTATTTACAGTGCTTAGATCTTAAGAATTGGAAAGAAACTCGCAAACAATCAGCATCTGGCACACTTGTAAATGAATAGTAAGACCATTTTGTTAACGCTAGCTTTTGCGACAGTCATTACAACTATTCGGCTCTAGGGTAACCAAGTTGTAGACTACAATAGCTCTAAAGTATGCTACAGCTACTGTAACCTTCACTTAGATTACGGTAACTCGCATTTTAAAGATCTATTTATTCATTTTATTCAATCTTAGATTAATTATAGCAAGAAAAATCAAGCATTTGGGCTATTTCGGCCGTTCTTTGCGCTCCGACGTAAACTAAATCGATCTCGCACACGCAATTCCTCATTTTTCTGGAAGCAGCGAGACTGCGAGAAAAATTGGGATCTCTGTATGCCAGATCGATTTAGTTTACATCGAAGCGCAAAGAACGACCGACCATGTCGACTTGTAAACTACCAAAATCAGTGCCCCAACCCGCCTGTGTTTACAAACTTTTCACCAAAATTCTCATACAATAGATCTACGCATGAAAATGTAAAAATTAACCTTAAACTTTAAAATCATTCAATCTATACTTTAGTTTGAACATCTTTCAACTCTTCATCATTATCATCTTTCGTTTCAACGGTTGGAATCGGTTGATGAGTGGCACGATAGGGGAATATACTGAAAATCATTTCATATAAATATCTAGCTTTATATATAAATTCCTTTTTCTTGTCAACTAAGAAAGTTTGAAAAGTGAAAAAAAGAAGAAATTTGAAGCTCAGACTCACGAATCTTGCTGGATAGACTTAAAGAGAACTGAATATAAAAATATCATTTTATTCGACACGAATAATGAATTGCAACACAAAGGAGGGAATTTTTACTCCTAATTACCCCTATTACCCAAATCTTGTTAAGAAAAAAAAACCATAATACCGTATTTTCTCTAATAGTTTTCCCCGGCGAGCCGAGTTGGTGACTATTTCAACGGTTTCCAAGCTTTTGCAGAAGCTCAACACTCTAATCCCCCACTAGATCTCGTCGTCAGCTACATTTTCCGACCCCACATCGATAGGTTCTGGTAAGCGGTTCTCGAGATTTCGAGGAATTTAGGCGACGCTCAGGGTGCAATACTAATAGAAAAAATACTGTAATGGGAAAAGGAATCAATCTTTCTAGCCGCCGGTGATCGAACCCTAGGAAGGATAGCCTAGAAGCCTAAGGATAACCTGGAAGCCTACGAATAGCCTGAAAGTCTAGAATAAGTCTGGAAATCAGGCTCTGCTCTGACTGGGCCAAGTACTGGGCCAGTACGGGACTAAGTTTGAGTAACAATTGTAGCCGCTCCAGATCAAAGAAAACAACTCATAATAATGGGAAAAAACCAATCTTTCTAGCCGCCGGGATCGAACCCTTAACCCCTCGACTAGACTTGTGTTTCGGTTGGCTCTTTTCGGTTCGGTTTCGGTTGCGGTTTGGTTCGGTTCGGTTCAACCGAAAAAATGATTTCTTATAGCTTTTAAAACATACTTTTTCAAGGGGATTTTAAGTTCAAAAGTTTTCTTAGCTGATTTTAAAATCATAGAATCAAAAATTTAGCAAATATACCTGTATCCAAAGACGGCTCCAATCACCATGATCGCTCCCAAAACGAAAAGATATGTGGGATGGAAGTTGAACAACCAATACGCCAGCACACAGTTCAACACGATGGCGAATGAGGTGGCGAAGGCCTGGAAATCGATGATAGGGTTTGAATTTGTTTCTTTTAAGCAAAATAATTCCATTTTCGGCTGACTTGACATTGTCTTTGAGGTCATATTTTAGTACTAGAATTACTAGACTTGCTTAGCGTTGGCTAAAGCCCAGGTCAGTCGTCTAACCTGATCATCCTAGTCGGGCACACCTTGACTGCAATCGGATACGTGTTGATGTAGCTCATTGCTAGAGCGTTAGCCCGGTTCCCCAGATCGCAGGTTCGAATCCCGTCTATCCCCGTTTAGCCCCGAGATCTTTCCTTTTATCGTCTAGTCAATCGACACTCTCAATAGATGCCAATGGCAAGTGCCGGATCACTTCGCAGTTCTCAAGGTAGAACAGTGTTACTTTTACTTATTGATTGATTCAGTTTAACTTTCTATTATCTTATTTCCTATTATTATTGTCAGTAAGTTTTTTTTAGAATCCAGATCATTGAATGTTTCAAGTGGGAAGTGATGTTGATTTGGAAAAAGCCGAGAATGATCAATTGATCGAGGCTGAGGAACAAGGTAAAGTTGTCTTTTAAACAAGGTAAATCTTTTAAATCAAAAATTCAACTGTGCCTAATTGAACTTTTTTAGATTTACAAATTCTAGAGTCAGCCGGCAGTTCAAGCAGTCTTGCATCGACAGTTTCAGCGAAAGACAAAGAGATAACAATGGATGATATTGAATCAATGGATGAAATGCCAGAGATCGATTGTGGAGATTATAATGAAAGGGTGTGTTTGAAAGAAAAAGATTTAAACGAGTTTTAACAAGATTTTACAGTAGTTTGGTTAGTATTAGAAATCAGAAAATTTCCCGAACTGATTCCCGAGCCTTCCATCCGATTTCTTTGCTAATTTTGTCCACAAGCTAACAATGGCAATTACAAACTAACAATGGCAATTGTATTCCAAAACAATTCTTCAAGAAACAAAGATGGAAATTGGCTCACATTCTAATTTTAAGTCTAATCATCGCAAGAATGGAGTGACACTTTCTAGAACGACTGTAGCGGTTCGTTTTGTATTGTAACTGGTTCGCTCTGTACTATTCTATTGCTTTAGGGTATTAATGTATGAATTGATCTATAAAACTGTTGTAAGAATTGATTCTAATATCGAAATTCCTTTTCAGATGCCGATCCTCATCCCATCCACTCCACCGCCTTATCCCTCGCAAACTCCCGACTCTACGAACGAATTTCTGAACATCTCTCAGACTTGTGAATGGAAATTCTTTCGTTGTCTTATCATTTTATTTCTCATCGCTCTCATCTTCTATTTTTCCTATCATTTATCGAAAGATCTCTTCAAAAAATCGTACTCAAAACCTTGAATTTCATTTTCATAACTTTATTCAAATGAAAGAAATAAATTTGTAATGCTAAAGCTATCGATTTACAGTATGGCACTAGAAAGCCCGTCAATGTCCCGTCAATAACTCTACAAAAGAAGAATTGCGTGCGCTAGAGAGATTACGTTTAGACACCAAAGCACAAAGTACACGAATAAAGCTCGAGATCTATCTATGAATCTATTAATTCATCACATTTTTCAGAGACAACTGTAATCATATACTTCAATGGTAATCCTCGTGATTCTTTTACAAAATGTAAACGCATCTTTCTAGTGCACTCAATTCTTCAGTTTCCCATAGAAACGCTTTGATGTCACAAGAAAAATGATGAATTGAGTGCACGAGAAAGGATGTATTTCTCTGTACTAAAACTAAACTAAACTTTGAACTCAAAGTGTACTAAAAATCAAAACTATTCCCGATCAATCCATTTACCATTGATTCAGTCAATTGACACTTGCCATTAGCATTTGTCTCACCTATTTCAAAAAGAAAAAAGGCAAAGTAGTCCAAAATCTATCTGTTTTTATTTATTAAATCTTTTATCTAAAACTTTATCAATCATATCCTCTTCTTTCAGCTACAATGATCTCTTTCACTTGTTTACAAGAAGAACAAGAAGATGTTGAAGCTGGAATGTCGCTGAAATGTGGAATGCTGGAATGTCTTGAAGCTGGAATGTCGAAGAAAGCCGCCAATCAAGGGAAAAGTGGTGAGCTATGAAAGTGTTAAGAATTCTTTGAAATTTCATAGAAATTCAAAGAGAATTTCAAAGAACAACAAAGCAAGAGATTAGACTTAAACCACTTGCATAAAGATCATCATAGATATAGATTTACAATCAAAATCTTCCACAAAAAACAGTATTTTTGTGCTAAAAGATAACATTGTTGTAAGCTAGTAATGAGCTAGAAAAGATGTGTTTAGTTTTTTGAGTACAAAGAACACTCTAAAGCTGTCTCTAAAGCTCAAACGGCCAGGAGAGTTGCTCTAAAAGTGGTTTTCCGGGAGCCAAAAATCAAGTCTGACTTCTGGCTTGGCTTTGCTTTGTTTTGCCCAGACAAAAGCTCCTTTCTGTTCAACAAAGACACCATTCTAGCATCATCACTTTCAAAAGTTCTTAAACGAAGTCAACCTACAATTTTAGCCTCAATCACCTCGAAATCCACGAGCTCTTTCGACGATTTAAACAAGGTCAACTTCGAGGATCGAGATTTCGGGGATTACGTGGATATCGATGATCGTTTGCCTATCTATCGCTCAGAAACGCCTCCCCCTTACCCACCAGTGCAACAAGTCCAATCAAAATTCGCTCAATGTCAAGATTTGAGTGAGTGCTTTCCTCCTCTCCTCATCCCCACTTTGCTTTTCATTTTACTCTTCAGCTTGGCCTACTATTTTTGCTGGGAACTTTCTAGGGTTTCTTGACTGAGTTTCTGGGTTTCTTAAGCTATGTATTCCTATATAAATTTCGATATTTAGATAAGCTTTTCTATGTATTTTATAGTATTAAGCCTTTTTTTACATTTCAGACTTTCTGAAGCTCAAACAATACCCATTAAAAGTCTATCCCTTGTCGAACTTTTCCTCTTATCATGTACTTTCAATATTCTAATATTTTTCTATATTTTTGGTATTACTAAATCGTATATATTCAATACTCACCTTTAAAATATTATCCGCATATTTGATGACCACGGCAACGACTAAACCGCCGAAAGCGCTAATCCCAACCGTCACCCAAACAGCCCAATCAAAACCGGACATCATCCTGAAAAAGGAACAATAAATAACACTTGAAAGACTCAAATTTACTTTTCAATAACATTATAAGAGTATTAGAGTCTTGCCTCATGGGTTTAGTGGTTACCGTATTTTCTCTAATAGTAGTGCACTCCGGCGAGCCGAGTTGGTGACTATTTTACGGTTTCCAAAGCTTTTGCAGAAGCTCAAAACCCTAACCCCCCACTAGATCTCATCGTCAGCTACATTTTCCAACCCCACATCGATAGGTTCTGATAAGCGCTTTTCGAGATTTCGAGGAATTTAGGCGACGCTCAAGGTGCACTACTATTAGAGAAAATACGGTATTAGCAATTTCAAAGTGTAAGCTTTAAATCCTAATCGTAATGATTATGTATAAATTTTATTTGAAATAGTTTTAGCACTATTCAAATCTGATAATCTAAAGCTATCCATTTACAGTAGGCTTTGAGAATCTAGTTTACATTTTGTTTACACTTTGAGCTCCAATAAACGGAGATTCTCGTCGACACTACGATTACTTTTTTTAAAAAGTTCAAAACAAAACTAAGTAGAATTTGTAAAATGATTGAGATACAATCCTTTGAATAATCTTTTCAATGACTAGTTATATTTTGATTGATTGATGATTTCAAACCTTGTTCCAATCGCTGCCGGTGAGAAGCCGTCAGCAAACAGCACCTCTCGGTCTTTCACCTGGGGAATTTTAGTTATTTTAGCGTTTCTAAATCTTTTAAAAACGAACTTAACACTTAAAACTTTAGTATTTTTAATATTATAGCTAATTTTTAACAACTCGATCTCACCGAAGCGAAGAGGAGCGCAAAAAAGAGCGATGGAAAGGCGAGCTGAATGTTTCGGATCCAAATCGAAACGTTTGAGCCTAGGAAATTTGAAGTTTAATAAAAAATAAATGATAATACATAGATAATCGATCTATTAGATCTACTAGATAGTAGTTTTCATTTTTAATTGAAAATAATACCTTTCAAAATTTTCTCAAAGTAGATCCCGGCGAAACCGGAGAGGAAACACGCGACGAGGACTGCTGTGAAGCTGGAAAGAGAAAGAAACAAATATATTATAAATTTCCATATTAAAATTCACATATTAATCGCTATAGATATTGCTATGTTTACAATTTTTACCCCAAAATCGAATTTTGCTCGTGAATATGAGCGGGTGGCGGTGAAGGAGTGGCCTGACGCTCGACTCGAACAAATGGAGCCAGCGTTGTTCCAAGAATATCCTAAAAGACCTTGATTTTGAATGGCTTTAGAAATATAGATTTGACTAGATAGATGACTAGAAATATAGATAGATTTGATTCTTCCTTAAATTCCTGGTCATTTCCAAAAATTGCAAAAGATCTCGACCACGGAAGGATTCGAACCTTCAATCTTCTGCTCCGTAGGCAGACGCGTTATCCATTGCGCCACGCGGCCTTGTGGGGAGGCGGCGAGTGGAGGGGTTATGTGCTGCAAAGGCAGAAAAACGTGGCCAGGAAAAGAGTGGGAAAAGGGTGAAAAAGAGCGAAAAGATAAAGGTTTTGAACAATTTTCCATTTTCATTTTTATTATTTCTATCTCTTACCAGCTTTTCTTTGACTCTTTCTTCAACTCCAGTCAAATTCAAGTCAATCGGAGCCATTGTTGTCGTCTGATTGGCAATAAAAGCAGCTCGATTCGCTTTTTCAGCATCATCGGAGAGTTTTTGGTCCTAAACAGTTGTTGTTGTTGTTAATCGAATCTCTTTTATAACTCGATTTAGAATCTATTTTCAAACTTACATATTGAACAATGACAACTCCACCAAAAAGGACAACAAGTGCCAGCCATTGTTGCCAAGAAAGTTTCCGTTTCAGGACAGCGACCGTGAAAATCGCTGTCGTGAGGATTTTCAGTTGATATGTGACCTAGATAATGGATAGTATACGAATAGAAATATGCTCTAATACAAAGAAGTACTGTACTATAAGTACTGTACAAAGAGTACGGTAGTTATAGTGTGTTAAATTTCTAATCACAGTATATTCTACTCCTTAAACAAAAGCCGAAAGCTGACCAACCATATAAGTGGCGGCGGGGAGATTGTCCACAGCGACATATCTATAAAAATATAGTTTTGTTTTTTAAAGAGATAAGTTTTAGAGATTGTACTGTACAAATACTGTTTTAGAGATTGTACTGTTTTAGAGATTGTACTGTACAAATACTGTTTTAGAGATTGTACTGTTTTAGAGATTGTACTGTGTTAGAGATTGTACTGTTTTAGAGATTGTACTGTGTTAGAGATTGCTATTGGGTTTTGATAATTCTCTTTACAAACGTACAACAAGAAATTCTGCACAGTGTAGACAGCTGCCGGCACGAGAACTTTCAGTAAATCTCTCCATTTCACCGTGAACTCATACCAAATATCGTGAAAACCCCTGAGAAAGATTAAAAATAAATAAATATACTGTAAAAATGAAGCTATAGAATATCAACAATATCAACAATATCAACAAACTTTTGCAAGCTCCGAGCTTCAAAACAAACGAGCAGAATCGAGGCGCATAACTTGAAAATCTCTCCCCAGAAAACGGAGATTGTCTGCAAGCGTTTTATATGCAAATTTTGATTAATTTTTTGATCACATAAGCTGAGTATAAATCAACTTTGAATTTGAATAAATCAACTAAACCAATAAATCAACTTTAATAACTTTAAAGAATACCTTTAAGAATTTCGGTCGATTTCCTGTTAGTGCATATCGCATGAAAAGGACGAGAGAGCAATTTTGAAGCACGAGGATTACCAGTGAAGTGTATTTGATCACAGTTGTCTCTAAAAAATGTGATGAATTAATAGATTCACAGATAGATCTAGAGCTTTATTTATATACTTTGTGCTTTGACGCTTAAACGCAATCTCTAGTACTTTAGCGCAATCTCTAGCACTAGTAAGTCTTCTTTTGTAAAGTCATTGATGGAAGGAGAGGCTTTCTGGTGCCCTAGAAAGGATATGTTTCTATTTTTGATTACCAGGTACAAAGATAAAGAGTAATTAGATGTGATCGGCCTTATAAAAATCTTTTCATTTGTTTTTAAATTATTCAAAAGCTTTTTGTTATGGATTTCTATGAGAGCATTTCAAAAAAAAACTCAAAATTAAACAATAATTCTTCTTTTGTAAGTATTAATTTGCTAAATGTTAAAATATTCGAAAAAATATTGTTTAATTTTGAGTTTTTTTGAAATGCTCTCATAGAAATCAATAAGAAAAAGCTTTTGAGTAAATCAAATAAACCAATAAATGAACTAAACCAATAAATGAACTAAACCAAGAAATCAACTAAGCCAATAAATCAACTCTAACAACTTTAATATTTAAAATAATCTCAAAAGTTTAAAAAAATAGATCCAAGCTTTACCGCTCAAAAAAATCTCAGGGATTTTTGGGATTCTCAAGCCACGGAGACGAGGTCTCATTTTTAAGGCAATAGGAATGGAATGGTTAAAATAAGAATCAATTAGGACATCGACAGATCTCTATAATACATCAATTATAGAATAGAAATTGTACTTTGTATTTAGTACATAGTACATAGAAGTTTAGCGTTGTCTCTGAAAGCTATTCTAGCAATAAACAACCAAATAGCAGTCCCATCGATTCGTGACTCAAAGAATCGAATGTAAATTTGGATAGATTTTCACTGAGTTAGGGGAAAGTTCGATTGAAAATATCGGTAATGATCGATCAACAATGGAGTGACGAAGAGGAAGAGAAATAACAGAATGAATACAGAAAAGAGAAGTGAGAGTAACAGATAGAGAGAAGAGGAGAAGGCAAGAGTCTCCAAATATACAAATCGAGCGATTGGGTGGAAGGGGAAAAGCCGGTGGTGAGGCTGAGAGGGGAAGAGACCGATCGACTGTGGAGGGGAGGGGATTAGGCATGCAAATATTAACCAGTCAATCCAAAGCTACTATTATTTCGTTATAATATTGTTCCTAGTTTTGCCCTTGATCTAGCTAAACTCTGAGATCTGAGATAAATCGTTGAGCTTTAGGTTGAGCTATTAGGTTAAGCTCTACGTTGAGTTATTAAGTTAAGCTCTACGTTGAGCTCTACGTTGAGCTTTACGTTGAGCTTTATGTTGAGCTATTAAGTTAAGCTTTTGATTACTTTCCGGTGAGTGAAGCCCTCTATTCTTATGGAGCCACATTATATTTTATATCTTCCTTTTCATATTCTAAAATTTCTTTCAGTCTTTTAAAACCTGAAAGCTCATCAGTTTACTGAAGAATCTCCTTGTTTTCTCAGCCAAGATTTCAATTTTTAACAATTTCAATAAGGATTTGATCTAACACGTCACAAAAAGACAAAAGCTTTCCGTTTTTTCAATGACAAGGGTTATCTTACGTCAACACAGTGCCTCCAAAAAACCCACTCCAAAAAAAGGCAAACTTGGCAAACCGTGGAAGAATTTATGACTTAAAAGCTAGCAATAAGTGACGAGACTGGTTTTGCCTTTAAAAGTTGATAATTTTCAATTTGGTAATGGTTTATTAGAAAAAGTTTAAGAAACTTTGGATTAGTGAGATATTTGACAGTGATTTCTTGTGAAAGAAAGAAAAAGGAAATCGTTGAAAATGGCAAATGGACAAATATAATAAGATATTCTTTTATCTAATCGTTTATTTGTAAGTAATAAAAGTAAAAATTTCATAGATTTTACCAATAACCACTAGATTAGCTCTATAGAACAAAACTATAAAAGTTATAAGACCGATTTATCGAAAGTTTTGCTTTAAAAAGTTTTGATGAACACTTGCAAAAGCCGTTGCAAAAGCTCAAGGTATTTACTGATTTGATACTGAAATCTAGGATTTGATTTGATAATGATACACATAAGCGTTTTTAATGAAGTTCATATGGTTTCACAATTTTCGGCCGGGCGTTTTTAGCTGCTTATAGCTGTGTCGTAGCACACTGTGACGCGAGGCGTTTACAGTATTGATCCACCGGCAGGTTCACCTACCGGTACCTTAATTTAATAGCTTAATAGTAAATTTTGTAAGCTTTTATTAGCTTCTAATACTTTATAAAGCTCAAAAAAGCTCAACAATTGCTATTTTAGTTTTCTTTATATAATAAACATTATACCTGTATGTTTATTTTATATCTTAGTTCTAATATTTCTCAAGACCGACTTCTGTCAGTTGACGATGCTACAGCAGCGGCCATTTCTTCTGTGTTTCCTCAATCAATTAATCGCTCAATCTTCGTGAAAATCTCTGAAAACTTGTCATTTTAAAAAAAAAGATCACCAAAACTACATGATAAAAAGAAATTTATGAGATTGTAAATTTTCAAGTAAAACTGATTGACACTTTTGAAAAGGGAAAAAGACAGAAAAAGGAAATCGTTGAAAATGGAAAATAGACAAATAAAATCAGATATTCTTTTATCTAAAAATAGTTTATTTAGTAATAAAAGTAAAAATTTCTTAAAATAATCGAAAGTTTCAAGGTTATGAGAAAAGCTTAGCATTTTTCTTTCTTTCCTTCCTTTCTTTTCTTTCTTTCTTTCCTTCCTTTCCTCTCCTTTCCCTTCTTTCTTTCCTCTCCTTTCTTTCTTTCCTTCCTTCCCTTCCTTTCTTACTTTCCATTCACTTCTCGAGATCTATTGAAAGATAGAAAGGAATTAGACGATTTTCGAAGCTAAGGAATTTAACTGAAAGAAAAAACTATAGAGAAAATTGGATTTAGGAATGTGGATTGTGTTTCAGAAAAGTTTCGATTCAAAGCTTTTTCTCCAACGTTTTCGATAGATTTTTCTAGATTCTTAGTGAAGAATAGAAGACAAGAGATAAAAGGGAAAAGGATCAGAAAGGGTTACAAGTTTGTAGCACAATAGACACATCATAGATCTTTTTTCTTTCATTTATTAGTTAGTTTAGGATAAAATGATGAAAATCTGAAAAATAGCTACAAATGGTACCCTACAAATACGAAATCCTAGATATTCTACAAATGGTAAAATAACTAGGATTTCGATTTAGTACTAAACTTTTCAAAAATCTATTTCAAATCATTTGATTAGTGAACGAAAATGGAAATGATTTGGATCAGATTCTAGATAAAAATCTAGTGTACTTTAAGTACTTAGTACTAGATTAGAGTACTAAGTACTGATTAGTACACTTAAAATACTAAGTACTTACTATTTAGTACTTTAAGTGTACGAATCAAACAGAAAGGAAGATTTTCTGGGGTACCGAGAAAATGTTGCGTTTATATTTTTCAGCATATCAGTAGAAAGAGCCTAGTTGGGTATTCTGTGCTTTAAAAGTAATTAAAGTTTGTTCAAAAATGAGAAAATTCTAGTTGATCATTGTCTAATCTAGTCATTCATCGATTTTCTTTGTTTCTCAAGCCAAATTTTTAGCCTAAAAAAAGTTGTGTGTAGAATTGTAAAGTTTAATAGAAGATCTAGAGAAATTAATTCTTTTCAGAATATAGATTCAAATTTAGACAAAATGGGAACATTAACAATCCACGTCGTAGAGTGTCCCTGCTTTTCCTTCTTTTCTTTCTTTCTTTCTTTCCTTCCTTTCTCTCCTGCCTTTCTCTCCTTCCTTTCTTTCCTTTCCTTCTTTCCTTTCCTTCTTTTCTTTCCTTCCTTTCCTTTCCCCATCTGTGCCAATAGAAGATGTCGATTCTCTCCAATTCCCGTTCACATAGAATTCACCGTTTCTTTTCTTTTTCTCCCGTGAAAACGATTGAATGACTCGAATGGTCAATCATTATGATTAACCATTGCTGAAAAGACTTTTCTTGAAAAGAATCGATTTTCGGAAAGCTATAAAAATGATTGTAATGTTTAGAGGATAAATAACTGACTTTACAACTAAATTTTTGGTTTAGCCTATAGTTGAAATCGAATTTTTATCTTCATTTATAATAATTCATCCTTTATTGTGCTAGTTTTATAAATGAAATTCGATTCAGCTGTTGATAAAAATTAGAGGTTGAATTTCAAAGAAACAGTGAATCTGTCAACGTGTCAGAAACAGTCAATCTGTCAACGTGAATTATTACTGACTTTAAATTACTATTGACTCAATTACTCAATTATCCAAAAATTTGATTAGATTTAGTATCAAATTTTGTTCAGCTTAACCACAGTCACCCGTACAATTTTCCCATTCAAATTTCATCTACTTTACCTTACCAATCTTGATTTAATTTTGATAGCAAAGTAATAGTTAAAATGTTTTTAAATATAATATTTTATTGTTTCCAAATTAAAGTTGAGATTTCCAAAGAAGAAGAAGAAAATTTTGGTTTAAAGGTTTGAAGAAGTTCAAGGCATAAAAAAAAACAAAAAAACTTTGTCTTGCCATCAATATTTTATCAAAAATCGTTTTAAATCATAAAAAAGTTTTGAAAAAAAAACAATTATCAAAACAATTAAAAACAAATGATTATTATCAAAAGAGCCTTGAAGAATCAAAAAATTTCAGAGAAATTGTAAGAAAGCTAGTAGTAAGCCGTCGTAGACAACCGGATAGGAGTCTTGTTTCCTAGTCGGGGGGTCAGAGCAGACCCTGATTTCCAGACTTATTCTAGACTTTCAGGCTATTCCTAGGCTTCCAAGTTATCCTTAGGCTTCTAGGCTATCCTTCCTAGGGTTCGATCCCAGCGGCTAGAAAGATTGGTTCTTTTTCCCATTATTATTGGTTTTATTATGGGTTTTTTCCTAACAACATTT